ATTAGACAATTTACAATTTGGTGGGACGAGCCCTTAAACTCAAACATAAGACATATACCATAGACATTCAGTTTTATCTGAACAATTTGCATATTTGGGAAGTCATTGGCTCCTTTAATACAGGGGATTAACCTAGTAAAGGAGCCAAGGATATACATATAATGGAACAAAATACCGAATTTAAAATTAGGAGTAAAAAAAAAAATGTGAGAAACGTATTTGTAAAATTATATTTGAATTGTGATATTGTATGTTTGTTTGTATAAATAAATAAATAAATAAATAAATAAATAAATAAATATTTAAATATTTAGTTTTTTTTTTATTTGTTTAATAAGTACATAAACTGACAAAAACAGTTTATTGGCGAAAGAAGACACCCTTAATCTATCTGGTACACTATACTTTACTAAAGTTAAAACCAAACCTGTGTAACTAAGCGAATAGATCAAGCATCATGGGACGACATAAAAACTTTTTGCCCACCAACGAAAAATAAACTAAATTAGTTAATCGTCTTCATAAAAAAACCAAAGTGACCGGAGCTAATAGTAATAAAACTTAACACAGCATTTGAGTGCAATTAGCCCCCAAATCTAAACATAGAAACCCGTTTGCTTAGAAACAACTTCGAAAATAACATTACATGTTGTATGTATTTTTAGAATTATCTATTACTAGATTTCGCCCGCACACCGTCCGCGCGTAATAAAAAAAAAAAAAACAAAATATTAAGATTAAAAGATTTATTTATAAAGTTACAAAATTTGTTTTAATACAATTGTGGTTAAGCGCCTGGTTACACTAGGCTCTAGGCCCGTCTTATAGGAGCCAGGGTTCTTCAGTCTTAGTGCTAGTTTTTTTAGAACACTAATATACATCTAAACAAATATAAAAAGCATGTAGTCTATATGTTCTAGACTGTCCTATACACTTATGCCAAATTTTATCAAGATCCCTTCAGCCGTTTAAGCTACTAACTCTAACAAACATCCATCCATCTAAACTTTCGCGTTTATAATATTAGTAAGATTGCACACTTCAAATATTTAAATTTGTACCATGTAAATTTAAAATAATCTCTAGAATTTCACAAAGAAATGTTAAAACAACTTCATTTTGAATTTGAAATAAGAGAGAAACATTTTCTGCATTCTGTACTATTAATAATCTGTGGTTCAGAGGTTTTTAACGTATTTCTTAGAATAGTTGCAAGAAACACATTGTTTATTTCCATTTGAAGTCAAATGTACATCAGAAAATGTAAAATGTACTTGTTTTTAAGCAAATTGCGAGAAGAGATGCACGTGACAGTCGAAATTAATATGGAAAAGTTATTTTAAGAAACAAAAGGTTTTTATTTATATTACACTAGCTTTCGCAGCAGTCTGTACGCGAATAACTTGTATTGCAATAAGATAGCGTCGATGGTTCAGGGGCACTTGACTTGTAATCGACAGGTCTTGGGTTCGAAAGCCATGTACCAATGTATTTTCGATTTTAAAATTTTATATGTACATAATTTACCAGACGTTCTTATGGTGAAGGAAAACCAGATGCAACCTACACATATCAGCGAAGAAATTCAAAGATATGTACCAACCCGCAGTGGGCCAGCGTGATTGACTATGGCATAATCACCCTTTACTTAGGGTAGGCTTCGAGGTCGCGGACGTAACTGAATGCGTGCCCGTGGCCTCAGCCTAATACGTTGGAGGAACAGAGGGGTTTAGTGGATCTGCCTCGCAAATGGAGAATCCCACATAACTGCCTTGTCCCCTGGGCGCAATAGTATGCATAAAGCATTCCCGTCTAAAAAAAATTGTAAGTTCAGAGCCCCTTAGTGAAGACTTATACGGGCGCCGCTATTAAAACCGGCACTATACATACCCTCATATTATTCAACCCTTAGTTTTGCTTGAATACTATTTACTACTAAAGAGGTGTTAATAAAATGAAACCAGTTACTACCGTTTTATACCTTTATTTGTATTAAATTATAAAAAAAACGATATATCATACAGTCTTGTATTTCTTTTTGATAAAACTTGATACTTTATAATAAAACGATTAAAAAGACATATATTTCTGTTCAATCCACAAAACAAAATAAGCGTGCATTTTCACTGACGAAAAACTTATAAAAAAAGTTATACCATTCAGATTATTTAATCTCATTTCATGTTTACTGGCATAATAATTGTAACACAATAAAAAACATAGTTAATAAAAACTAAATAAGCGAAATAGGATTTTTGAAGCGCCAATACCATAATGGTTTGTGGTACGGACTACCAATCTAAATCGTGGGTTCGAATCCCGGCATTCGACTATGAACCATATCATAACAGAAGCTTTCAAGCTTATCTTGGTTAAAAAAATATGAATAAGCTAAAAATCTTCTAATATCTTACAAAAAAGGATAGTTATTACACTCTGCATTCAAAATATGCTAAAAAATTGGATTCTTCCCAACCGTCACCCCGCTCTGTCCCCACATGAGATGAAAAATTTCGCCCGTCCCACTTTTAATCCCACTATGACCATTAAGATTACAGATGGAACAATTAACAAATAAAATAAATCCAACCGTCCCCTCGTCGCAGAAGGTGGGACGGAGGAAACTTTTTATTCTCATCGGTCTCCATATGGGGACAGAGCGGTGTGACGGTTGGGAATAATCCAAAAAAATGTTTTTTGCAGACATCGTTAGTACTTCTACCAGGTCCTTTATGGACTCCTAAGAGTCCTCCATGGACACCTAAGTGTCCAACTGGATTTTGGTTATCACTGAATTATACTATTTCGATATTACAGTAGTTTTTCTTATACTAGTAATGCGCCCACTCGATCTAATACTAATTAAAAACAGACCTATTGTCGATAAAAAGTTTTTTTTTAAATTGAATTACATACATTTTTTTTAAATTTCAAAGATACAATACATCTCGTTCTAATTATATGTCGGAAACACATCGTGATGCGCGATTTTTGTTTTATTAATTTACAAGTAAATAATTTAGGGGAAAAATATTTAGTAGGGAATTTTAACAATAAATAGGCAGTCAAATAATGTAACTACAATTTCCTCTATGGAATCAAGTGTATAACAAATTTATTGTAAATTTTTCTTTTTATCAGGACGAAGCGTTACAAAACAGTTTTCATAAAGTGTTTCTATAAATCTAAAAAGTAATAAATTCAGTAAACATATACCACACAGAATAAGATTAAAATAACTTAAAACTACCTTATGTAATTAAGCAATATATTGAGATACATTGAAAGGAAAATGCAGACTTAGCCTGTCTCACCAAATTGTAAATCATCTGATAGCATACGTGAAAAAAAAGTGACGGAAATATCGGATTTTGTTACCTGACAGTGACGTCATTTTTAAGCTATCTGAGCCTCTATCAGCCAGTGGTGGGACAGACCCATAATCATTACGGAATTAAATATTGTAAATAGTGAACTATCAAAACTATCGATAAATCTATCGATAATTTAAACATCTCTAAAACATCGGCAAATTAAGCCTGTTTTTCAAATTAACAGTACTAAAGTATAAAATAAATTCCTATATTAAGAGTATATACTTTTGAGTGCTACATTGTAAAGACATTATGCGCGGTTCACACTTAGCCAGCACAGTTGGTTTGTAGCACTCAATAACTAGACTAATCAACTGGCACAGTGTGGACGCTCTCTGGCGCCAGTATGACATTGGAAACTGTTGAACTGCACTGGCTAAGTGTGAACCGGGCATTTTATGTGATTTCTAGGTTTTAGCTGAATAGTTATTCCTGGGCAAATGGGGCATTTGAAAGAGTATAATGAATTTCTGGTTGGTTCATGTTATTTTTTTAAATCTTTATTTACTTGCTCGGGACTGCTATCCGTGTGAAATTAAAAAAAAAACACATAGCCTAAGTTACTTACATATAAATTACCTTTCTAACGGTGCAAGAATTTAAAATCGGCCCAGTAGTTTTTGAGTTATTTCGATAGATACAAAAATTCAAACTTTCTCTTTATAATTTAACCAAATACGATCTAATTTCTTCTTCTCTTATTAGGAGAGGATGGGAAGGGGAAGTGGATTTGTCGGAGGAGATACATAGGAAGGAGAAATATCCTTTTTATGTGCGTCTCCTCCGTCGGATAAGGGTAGGCAACGCATCTGCAATCTATGTCTATGGGCAGCGGACGCTCTCCATTTTGGTGAATTCAGGCCGCTTGCTCGTTTGCCACATTATGTTATAAAAAAATGCATCACAATACTTGGAAAAACTATGGAATTTACGAGTTTTTCTCCGAAATAACGATTCCACTTAAACCATGAAATCACTCATTAATATCTTATTACATATTAATAGTATCTTAATAACTATTAATAATAAATTACCAATTATAAAAAGTCAAATTTTATTATAAATATGTCATGTTTATGGACTATAAAGCCTACATCTTCAGTTCTAACTGAAACGTACGTGTGGACGTTACCGTAACTGTAACCTGTAACTGTAACCGTAAACTGTACAGTTTAAATGACTGTTTTTTTACAGTTTAAATTAAAACGAGTAATATTTCTCTATACCAGATAGAAAATATTTTTTTCCATTTAATACTGATAGACAATAAAATTGTCAACAAAAAAACACTAATGAGTTTTCACCAACCATCTCTTTTAGTTCCCTAAAATCTAGTAAGTGTCGCTAAATTTCGTATAATATTTAGGGAACCCCTTAGTCATCTATATTATAATAAAGCTTAAAAATACGCTTCTTTGTTGCCTAAGATGTCAGCAATTACAGCATATTTTTAAATAATTCTTTTTTTAATGAAAAGCCTTACACTTACCTCTCGCTTTAGGCTATATATTTTAACGCCATTAAACTTAGGGGGTAAATATTTTGGATAAAAACACTAATGTGGTAGAGACCATAAGTTGCTGCCAACATCAAGGAAGCAAGTGATTGCTAAGGTTTGTCATGTCATTTTGACATTTGCTATTGATAATTTGACAATTTTCATAATTTCATGCGGATGAAGCCGCACGGGAACAGCTAGTCTAATAATTTAGAGGCTGGTTAGTGAACAGTCTATAAAAATCTGATTGAAATAGCAAATATTTGACAAATTCTACAACCAATAATGTCATAGAAACAGAGTTTTTAGTGGCTTTGGTTTGGTAGGGGACTGGGATATCCCCTGAAAACATCTATTCGCACAACTGTTGACCGTTTTGATTCCTATGAGCGTATAAGGAGGTTACACTACTCACTACTTAGTAGAGCAACTAAATAGTTGAATTGGCTGCAAAACAATAGACAATCGAACAGTTTTGCGATAGTTTAGTCAACGGTGTGCGCACGCTCTAAATGTCGAGACAATGTATACATGTAATGTATACATAAAAATAGCATAATTGTCTTCTAACTGCAACTTCTAGAAGAATTACCATCGAGCTGAATTACCAGTTGTCCAAGAAATCGTATCCCGTCTTCGGTAGACTGGTGCCTTCAGTGAGGGTCTCAGTTGACTGGAAGTCGGTCCCTGATGATGCCTGACTAGAAGATAGTAGACCACGATTCTCCTCGGATAAGTCTGAAATGTGAAGAGTTCAAATTTAAATACAATAATCAAGCGCCAATAGCCTAGCCTAATGGTTTGGGGTACGGACTACCAATCTTGCGGTCGAGGGTTCGAATCCCGCCATTCGATTGTCGTGAACCATAACCTAGCACAAGTCTAGAGTTTAGTTGGAATTGTTAAAGGAAATATTAGTAAATTAATAATAATCTACTGACATGTAAAAAAAATCCCCATTCTCCGTTGCTATAAAAGTTGGTGATCATTCCGATTGGGAGCCGCTATCCTTTAAATGAAAAGAGTTCCTAAGACCCATTTTTTTTGTTAGAATCGATTTAACCAATAATATTAATCGTGATGAACCTCATCTCCTTATGACAACAGTGTTGGAATATTATCGCAGTGAAATCCTTTGGTTATTTACACTTTTAGTAATTGCATCATTTAGTATGGACACAGCGTAGTTGGCGTTCCGTGCGCTTTGTAAAAGCAGTTTACCAGATTGCATAAATTATAGAAATAAAGTAAACGAGTGTAATAAAGTACACGTAATACTCTTATATAAATATTATTTAATAATTATTTAATAATTGGTTTAATAGGAGCTTCGATGGCGCTATTAAGCGCTGGACAGGACCATACTCTACATGTCTAAGTACGATCCCCGCTATGTGAAGTTTTTATTTTATTTTTTATATTATGCGGTTGTAAACCAACAAGCGGCCACCTAAAACCGCCAAACGCTGCCCATAGACATCCGCAATTGCAAATACGTTGCCTACCCTTAATCGACGGAGGAGGGGATGCTAAAAAGGATATTTGCCCTTCCTATGCGATATAATCCGTAATTGTTAAAGTACGTAATTGTAATGTAAAATACGTAACTTGTAGTTTATACTACCAAAGTACAAACATAGATAGTATAATAGTAATACATGTACATGTATGTATATATATATATATGTGTGTGTGTGTGGGTATACAGTTCAAGTTTTAAGTATTCAGATTTATGTCTCTCACATCGTAACTTAATTCAAACTACGTGAGTCGAGTTAAAATGTGGTGCCATTTCATTCATTATCTAAGAATAAATAGAGACAACAATACACATGGAAACTGGTAAATTGTAATGCAGTGTTATGGCGCCATCGCTTAAAAATACTAAACGACTTTCGGAAGGTTTTGTAGTTAAGTGATTACTGTGTGTACTTTCGAGTAAGCGTTTTACGAATAATCCTTACATGATTACTATATACGGTAGATTGTAAATTACGTAAAAAAAACTTTTACCGATTTGAATTTGAGGTTATTTCATTTAGGACCAGGCTCACCACTGGCCCCACCAACGGTTCCCGCCTTGTCGTGGCGGTGGGGCTCAGTAGCCGCGGTACGTCGAGGGTCTCCGGACCGCGGTGAAGCCAAGAGGAACCATGGCCGGCTTAGCAGGGCAGGTCACGCCGGTCGGCCAACCGGCTGGCATGTCCCGCGACGCCGGTCTAGTGGGGAGGTCGCGCTCAGGCACCCACCCTGGGCGCGCCTCCTGGGCACTGCTGGCCAATGCGGCCAGCAGTTTTGGGGGGAGGGGGGCCGCGGGAGCTGTGAGTTGTGTGCGGGTTTATCCTGCCCTCTTGCAGCTCTCGTGGCCGGAGGAGGTGGGCCGTGGGGGCTGTGGGATGGATATGGTTTTGCCCTGTCCTCTCGCGGCCCTCGCGGTCGGAGGCAGGGGGCCGCGGGGGCTGTGAGTTGGGTGCCGGTTTATCCCGCCCTTCTTGCAGCCCTCGTGGCGGTGGGGCCGCGAGGGATGCGGGATGGATATGGTTTTGCTCTGTCCTCTCGCAGCCCTCGTGGTCGGGGCGTGGGAGCACGACTTCGGGCGTGCGATCCTGCGCCCACACGCGTAATCCCGGTGGCTCATAGCCCCGGGACCGCGGGCCCTTAGTCTTTTTCAAGACTGGGGTCACGAGGTGGGGACTCTATAAACCCTGGCGGCACCAGCGGGCGAGGCGGGGTCTCCGAGCCCGCATTGCACGGCGCCGTCTTCCGAGGAGCGCCTTAGGGTGCAGCGTCCCAACTCGTTGGGACGCACCGAGGGCCCCTTCCCGGGGCGGTCAGTGGGGCGTCGCGGTGGCAAGCGAAAGCGATCCCGTGGCGCCTCACACAATGGCCAGGAGGGAACGAAGGGGTTTAGTGCGGTATGCCCCCCACTAGGGGGGGAGAGTCCCACATAACTCACGTGTCTGCCCCGAGGCATGGAGTATGCAGAAAGCATTCCCCTTCGGAAAAAAAAAAGGCTCACCACTGGCTGATAGAGGCTCAGATACCTTAAAAATGACGTCATAGATAAGGGAAAAAAAACCGATATTTCTATCGCATATTTTACTCGTTTGATTGTTATCAGACAATTAACAATTTGGTGGGACAGGCCCTTAATTAAATACGTATGAAGTAGCTAAGTAAAATTACAGAAAAATATTTAAACTATACATAAAAAACAATACAATCTCATGGCTATTAAAATGTTTATTTTAATAGAAAATTCAAAGAATTAAAACTATTTCTTTGTTTCCAAAAATCTTTCATAAATTACATTTCACATAAGAATAGTTTAGATACAAAATCTCAAAGATTAGTAATAAAATTTTATAGAAAACGTTTAATTATTGTAACTAGTACTAGCTGTCGCCAGCGTCTTCGTCAGCGCAATTAACACAATAGCCACTATGCAATATAATAATATTCGCCCCAGCATCAGCTGCCTCCAGTCAAAGTCCTGTTAAATTCGGTCTTGCCGTTTCAGAGATTACCCCGAACTACAACTAACTATTAAAAAAAATGCTTTTATTAGGAACGCAAATACATCATGTTCACGAAACGGCATACAAATAAGAGACAAATTGAGTCACCATGTCTGTCCTTATCCCACTCATGAACACACTATGTTCTCCAGATAAATTTATCTTCCATCTCACTCACTCCTGAATTATATTACATCATCAATTTGCCCTTATCCCTTATGGTCGGCACAGTATGTGCTGCTCTTCCATACATCTCTATCAGCCATATCTGAATCCACTCCTTTCTTAAGCATATCCTCTTTCACACAATCCATCCATAATTTCTTCGGTCTTCCTCTACCTTTGTAGCAATCCACATTTATTCTTAACACTTTCTGGTTTATGTTCCCATCGTCTCGTCGCATAGCATTTCCATACCACGCCAACCTTTTGCTTCTCAATTTCTCCACCACTGGCGCTACTTTCAAACTTCCTCTAATACACACATTCTTAACTTTATCCATTCTTGTCACACCACATATCTTAACATACGCCTTATTATATATTACATTCAAAGTAAAGACTAAACATGTCCTATCACTAACATAAATTGCCATATCAGTCTTGTAGTACGTGGTAAATACATAAATTGGAAATCTAAATATTTGAACTGATAAGGTCGTTATACACGGACCTTAGTTTTATACCGCTTTGAAAAAAGGTTTTAATAAACCTGCATTGTGCTTTCGCAGACAGTTGCTTTCGCTATTATACTAGTATAATAGCGAAAGCAACTGTCTGCAGATCTATAGCTTAATTTACACTTAATGTAAGTTATCTGTGCGTGTAAATCTATCCTATTATAATAAAGCGTAAACACACACTTCTTTGTTGCCTAAGATGCCAGCAACTACAGCATATTATTGAATTTCTTTTTCTAATAAAAAGCCCTACACTTACGTCACGCTTTAGGCTATTTGTTTCACGCCTAAACTTAGGGTGTAAACATTTTGGATGAAAACCCTAATGTGGGAAAGAGACCATAAGTTGCTGCCAACATCAAGGAAGCAAGATTGCCAAGGTTTATAATGTCATGTAATTTTGACATTTGCTATTGATAATTTGACAAATGTAAACAATAAAATAAAATTTTCATAATTTTATGCGGATGAAGTCGCACGGGAACAGCTAGTATCTTAATAAAGCTGTTATTTAGTTGAGTAATTATTGACACAACCCACTCCGGTTAAAACAATGAATTACAGGATTACGAAGATAAAAATGTTAATCTGCCTACACGTATAGTAACGAAGATGACACTATATGAGTCATTGTACAGTCAGCCGCAAATATATTTATACAGTTACATTTAGAAACCTTTACTGGCCTTATGTTTCTAAAATGTATCCACTTATCCGTCAACATCTTGTACAAAAGGACAGAAAGCATACGAATAGACATGCATACATTTCGAAACGGAAAGCGTATAAAATATCTTGTAGATTTGTAAATGCCAATATATATGTGACGCTGACTGTACACGACTCACTATATTTGGAGTAAAATTACCGCTATTTTCGTTTAATTAAAAAAACAGTCTCACATAAAACAACCCTAGTTATAAAGTTCCATCAATTAGATGCTGAATGAGGTCAAACATTTAGAAAGTCTATAGAAGTCATATGTGAATTATGTTTTTTTTTTAAATCTTACTAATTCTTACTAATATTATAAATGGGTAAGTTTAGATGGATGGATGTTTGTTAGAGTTTGTAACCTAAACGGTTAAACGGATTTAGATGAAATTTTATAAGATGTAGAGGATAGTCTGGAAGAACACAGAGGCCTACTCACTTATGTTTATTTTAATTCCACTCGGACTGAGACGCGGGCGAAAGCTAGTACATAATAAAATTAAGGATACGAACCAACGACCGTGTAACTATATATCCACTAGCTTTCGCTCGCGACTCCGTCCGCGAGGAATTAAAAAAACAAAAGCGAGTAGCATATATGTTCTTCCAGACTATCCTCTACATCTATACCAAATTTCATCTAAATCCGTTCAGTCGTTTGGGCTACAAAAACACAAATATCCATCCATCTATCCATATATCCATCCATACATCTAAACTTTCGCATTTATAATATTAGGATGATAAAACATTGGACTATTTGTGTTGTTAATAATGTACAAATAATTCCGGTAGTTTACAACATAAAGGCGTTTATTAAACAATTTTCCTACTAATAACAAATAACAAACTACGTATTTATAGATTCTTTAACAAAGAACAATACGAGTTGTAACATTCATAAGTATGCATAACAAGTGTGGGAAGTTCGCGTAATGAATCTAAGCAAATCGTAACTTACAACCTATATATCAACATAGCGTTGAATAGGTAACTTAAAGTTTAAAACAATTAAATATTCATAATAAACTATAACCTATTATAAAAACATCACATTATGATTTTTATAGTGAATAATTGAATAAAAACGTTTTCATTGTTCAATTCTATGTGCTATAGCAATGATGGTCAAATGAATTTTATTATACAATCAAGTACAGTCGGGGAATTTAGCGGTCTTCCACCTTAAAAGCGTGTTTGCGTAAAGTGGGAGAAATCTCGCGTTTTGTCTGATAAGTGTGGTCGTTTCGAAATTTTGGCGGATTCAGATGGTCGCTTGCTTGTTTGCCACCTCATGTTATAAAAAAAATACTAATGGGGCCCCATGGGGATACATCGACTCACGGGTAAAATGTTTAAACACGAAATCTTACTAATTTTACTAATATTATAAATGCGAAAGTTGGATGGATACACCTATCTTTGTTAGAGTTTACAAACTAAACAACTGAAAAGATCTTTATGAAATTTAGCATAAATGTAGAGGAAAGTCTGAAATAAGACATAGGATACTTTTTTTTTAATTCCACATCGACGGTGTCGCGGGAGAAAGCTAGTATAATCAATATTAAAAATAAATAAAACTTACCACTATTTGATTTAACACTGTTCCGATAATCCTTATCATATTTCTCATTTTGAGGACTTTTAAAATTGGTTCTAAAGAAATTATCCGAAGATGCGACAATATGAGTATTCTGTCCCGGCATCAAACACTCTCGTTCCTCATCTTTACATTTAAAGTTTCCTATAAACTTCGTAAACAAACCCGTAGGTGAAGTTACATCTCTATCTTTGGGGTCTTTGAAATTCTTCAACACATCATGCGATTTCAACGCATTCTTTAACTCATTCACTACTTTAGAATGAGATAATGCTAGCTCCGACAGTATCGGAGGCGGTGAGGTACATTTAGTCTCCTTTGGTTGTCTGCTTTCGTTTAAAACACACAAATTCAACTGACTTTTCGTCTGATAGAGGAATGGTGCGGAATGCTCATCTCGGTAGGAACCATTTTCATCTTGTATTATCTTCATTGCATGTTCTTTACCGAAGAATGACATCAAATCATCATTATTCGCTGGAGGATTGTCTAAATCAAACTCTAATGTGTCAAGTAGAGCATACTTCAGAGCGATATCAGGTTTAATTATCGATTCATTAATAATTTCAGCCTGGAATAATAAAGATTTTGAGGTTATATATTTTTAATGAGATCCTACAAATTAATGTTTTATTATTAAGAGAATTTAGATTAAAGTGAAACTATGATAAAAAAAAAATTCTAAAGCATATATCATCATTAGAGTAAGTTTTCACTGTTAATTTATACTGTTATCCTTTTTCCTATAAGTATTTGTCATGGAAATCTAGTTAGAATAGCCAATTTTGAAAGTACATATTTTTTTCATATATTAATAAAATAGAGTTCATACCAATATTATAAATGTGAAAGTTTAGATGGATGGATGTTTGTTAGAGTTTGTAGCCTAAACGGCTGAACATATCTCAATGAAATTTGGCATAGATGTAGAGCCTATATGTTCTTCCAGACTCATCTGGAAGAACACATGGGCTACTTGGTTTTGATTTTTTAAATCCATGCGGACGGAGTCGCAGGCAAAAGCTAGTATACTATAAAACAAAGGAATATACATTTATTAGGAGACTTATAGAATATATTACATACATCTTCTATGGTCAGTGAAATTTCAAAACCAAAATTAAGAAATACAACTTTTGTTAAAAATAATATTCACATTTTAGCTCTTTGAATATGCCATTAAACTTTAAAGTCATCATCATCTTGCCCTTATCCCTTAGAGAGGGTCAGCACAGTATGTGCTGCTTTTCCATACATCTCTATCAGAAACTTTAAAGACATATAAAGATTAATAATATACTATTAACCAACAACCTTACTAAAAAGTTCATTAAATCATGATTTTCAACAAATATTTAGGATTTAAGATTAACTGTAGTTAAGGAAGCAAAATTATTAGAAGCACAACATCATTTATTATGCGTAGTGTGTACCAATTATGTAAATATTTATCTAACAACTTGAGTATGGCTCACACGCAACTAATTTATAAATAGATACAGTTTTAAATTATATTAGTTCAAAATGCAAACCACAAAAGTAACGTTAGTGAGAAATATAAATCACCTTTTCCTTATATGACAGAGTATCCCAAATGTTTTCATATGCATTTTTAGCTTCAGTGATATCTTCATGTATTTTTGCAGCCAGTGGGTTCAATGTTCGAAAGTACTCTTCAGCGACGTCTCTCAACGCCATTTTTTATATTAAATCAAATGTGTTTACTTACAATATTAACTGATAATGACTTAAGCCATAGTTATTTAACATTAATATAAGAAACACCGACGTTAAATTATCAGACCGCAATAAAACCAAGACATCTATTTCCGCGCACGTCAAAACAATCAATGCAATGCAAAATGCAAATGAAAATTCAATTCAATGCAAAAATAAACCATAGACATCTGTCAGTTTTGACAGCAGAAGGCGATCCATAGACATTATATTTGACATTCGATAGAATTGTCTATGTATTCAAATGCCATAGTTACGATAAATAAGTTTTTATAGCACTTTAATTACTGGATAGCCCTTGAATGTCAAAATGGCTAACGCAAACAGTGTTTATATACTGATATTACCGCGGAATGTACAGTTCGAACGTTAAAAAAGTGTTTTTGTGTACATTTTACAACAATGTTGCACAACAGCGGTCCCTTTGGACCGAACGAAGTGCCAATCAACATGGGCGCGCCAGTAAACATGACCCCGATGAGTGGTACAATGAACATTAGCAATAACATAAATAATCTATCTAAAATGGGACAGCAATCGACGGAAACGTCTAATGCGCATTATCCTGTATCAAGCTATCCAACATACGGGCATCCACATTTAAACATGAACCCGACAATGAGTCCGTTTCCAAATTATCCTCCGCTAGGCTTTCAGTCGAGTTATCTGTCGCAAAGTTCATCAGTTCACGAAACAAATTGGCAGAATGGTATGTTGCCTATAGGATTGAACATGCAAAGTGATAACAGCACACTTAATTATTCCTCAACTTCAATAAAACGACCTGACACTTTGAGTGAGTACAGGGAGCATAATATACACAGCAAAATGTTGCATATACCTCAGGTGCACACTAAAGCATTCCATAAACATCTCAACATGGAAAACAATCATTACAATCATTATCAGCATTACAGTCCTAATGCAAGCACATTGAGACAGTATGCCGACTGTAATCTCGATTTAAGCACGAAATCTAAAACGGAAATTGACCCAAGACGAAAAAGCTTGGAGACAACTGTTAAACTAATTGAAAACATCCTTATAAACAGTACCAAAAAGAATGACACAGTACAACCTAAGGTAACAGAAGATATATTTACAAATACTAAATCATCAAGTCCTGTTCAGTCACCTTTACATGATGATATCCGTAAAACTCCTGAGAAAAATGTAATTGAGCAAAGCGCAAAAGTAAATAAAGTGGATACTAGACAAGAAGACAATATTTCAAGATGCGATGAAAGCACTTTGGACTCATTGGTCGGTAGAGAGGATGTACAGGAGTCTCAAGCCTCAACAATTGAAGAACAAACATCCTCAGATTCAGACAGTGAACCACAACCTGAAGATCTTACATCCACAGCGACTAGCGCGGTTGAGAAGAAAGATAGGACCATAGACACTAGTGTGGAGGTTAAAGTGGAAGAAAATGAGTGGACAGACACAGGACCAAGCCCATTCGAAAAAGATGTTCATGGTCTACAAAGAGAAGATGTGGGTAATGACTATATAATAGCAGGTGATAGGAGTGTAGAACAGGCAACAGAAGTTATAAAAAATGGTATTGACTTGTTTTTACTTTTTTTTTTCATGATTATAAAAGTTATTAATTAGAAATACTTTTTAGTGTGCATCAATCCTGAAGTTAATACTTAATTGCTATTGTTAAAATCTTACCTTAAATAGGTCTTCAAGTTGTTGCCTGCGACTTCGTCCGCATGGTATTAGAAAACATACAAACTATATAAATAACAAAAAGCTATGTATCCCTCGGAAACCGAACATTTATTGGGGATTAACCTTATCCCAGTACACCAGACTTTGTTTTATATCTGTGCCAAATTTCAATAAGATATGTTGAACTGTTGCAGAACGATCAAATAAACATTAAAAAACTAAATTAATGAATTTCTCGGGAACCATAACTATTTCCAGGATAAAAAGTGTTCTTCCAGACTATGCTCTCAACCTGTGCCAAATTTCATGAAGATCCATTCAGCCGGCTACAAACGCTAACAAACATCCATCCATCGAAACTTTCGCATTTATAATGTTTATATAATATACCCTTTTTTACATATCAAAATAAAACACTAAATAAAAAAATAGTATACCACTAGTTGGGGGATCCATCGACTCAAACAACCAGTGGTTATTATTATTTTCATATATCTTTATTTACATATTTAAATAAATCTTACAGGAATAGAAGGAAAGAAACACTACGAATGTCCGAAATGCAGTCTAATTTTTACACATCCAAAAAGATTCCTCATTCACCACAAATGGCATTCATTCGGTCTCAGCACAATGAAGAAGTTGGACATGGCAAGAGAGAAGGAGATGAAGAAGACTTTAAGAAGAGAAGCAAGAGTTATACAGAGGATGAACATGAATGAGGTGACAGATTTGAATGCTGCGGGCAAGAAGTATTCATGTAAGGATTGTGATAAAGTGTTCAGTGCTAGAGGTAGCTTGAAGAACCATAGACAAAGGTAAGACTAATGCCAATAAAGTAAATTAAAACAAGGCTTTTTCACACTTTTTAAATTAAAGGCCAATAAATTGTAAAAAAAAGTCATTTACAAGTAATGAAAACTACAAGCTAATAGCATCAAAGAAGCAAGATTGTTATGATAATTGTTAGGCAATGGCAAAAGCCTTTGTTATCATTTGTGCATTTGAATTTTGATATTTGCAATAGAAACAAAATAAATTATTGTTACTCTGTAATTCCTACATTACTCCAGGTTAATTTTTTTAATCTAGGTACCATCCAACAAGGGTTCGGGACTGCAAGATCTGTGGTAAAACAGTATTGGGTTGGATAGCGCTGCGGGCTCACTTGGCCACACACACAACAGACTCTGGTTACCAGTGTAGTGACTGTCCAAAACGATTCAAGTATTCACATTCACTAGCTAAACATAGAGACACCCATTTGGTGAGTAGTTTTTAATTTTTTTTACTACGCATCTGCAATTGCGGATGTTTATGGGCAGCGGTCGCTTTCCATTTCGGTGGATTCAGGTGGCCACTTTCTCCTTTGCCACCTTTTATTATAAAAAAAATACTGCTTTCGCCCTGGACTCCGTCTGTGGAGGTAAAAAATAAAGTAGCATTTGTTCTTCCAGACTATATTTGACATTTATGCCAAATTTCATATAGGTTCATATATCAAATTAATTGACAAATTTTAAAAACATTACTTAACCCATGTAAACCTTCGCACTTGCAATATTAAGATTTTTTTTAATTGCCTTGCCGCCAAAATGGCGAAGCGACCGCTGCCCAAAACCATTCGAAATAGCGGATGCGTTGCCTCCCCTTGATTGATGAAGGAGGAGATGCACATTAAGAGGATATATCCCTTCTTATGCCATCTCCTCCAGCGTCAAACCCACGTTTCCCATTCTTTTCTTATAAGAAGTATGGGAAAGAAAAGGGATTAAAGGTCGGTCTCCGGCACCACACTCATCAGACGAAATGCGGAATTGCTTTCATTTCCCGCCTGTCTTTCTGGTCGTGGTATTACACCGGCTCCATAGTGTGAAAATGTTAAAGCGGGCTTTATCACTGTTTAATAAAGCGTTTTTATTATATTAATAGTCGCAGCAAAATTTCGATTAACTTGAAAATTAATTTAATATGCATTACGTTATTTCAGGAGAAAACCCACGCCTGTGAGCAATGTCCGAAGAAGTTTGGGTCAGTGAAACTTCTCAAAATGCATATGAAAACGCACGAAAGAGTACTCAAAGGGACAACTTTCCATTGCACATACTGTGGGAAGGGATTCTTTGAGTCTTATAGCTTACAGGTATTTAAAAATATCGCTTTATTTAATTTTTTGTTCATAATACGGATGTAACTAGTGTAAGGTCATCATCATCATCATCACCAGCTCACTATATGTCCCCGCTAAGGGGCTCAGTGTCTACCCTAAGTCAGGGGTGACTAGGCCATAGTCAACCATGCTTCACTGCGGGTTGACTTCACACATATCTTTGAATTTCTTCGCCGATATGTGCAGGCATCACGATGTTTTCCTTCACCGTAAGAACGTCGGGTAAATTATGTACATATGAAAAATCGAAAATCACATTGGTACAGCTGGATTCGAACCCTAGACCTGTAGATTACAAGTCAACTGCTTAAACCACTGAGCCACCGACGCCGTTTAAGATCGATTTCTCTAAAATATCTGAATATGTTTTTTAATACTTATATGTACAGTCAGAGTCCTTCGCGGTAGTCCACTTATGGAGAAATTGCTTTGTTTCTTACAAGAGAAACTCCGACTCTGATGATTAACCAATAGGTGTTGCACAAACGACGGTATTATAATGAAAAGCAATTATGTACACCAATAGATGTATTTTCGTACGGAAATTTAAAAGCTGAGTTAGGTTATTGTTCCGCGTTACAATGAGTACTTTTATATGTTCAAGTCTTTTAAAGTGGCACACCGCTAAATTTCCCAACTGTACTTTACTAAACATACTTCTTTTTTGGCTTTTTTACTGTTTTATCGATTTAATATTTGCGCGCTTTAGTAATACGTTATATGTTTAGGTCCACGAGCGCACACACAGGAACGAGAGACCATTCCTCTGTCAAATCTGCAACACAAGCTTCGGAACCAACTCCAGCCTTAAGAGACATTTGAAAGTGGTTAGTATTTTAAGATAATAATATTATTGTATTAACTACAACTAGACTATTAGAGTAATGACTGCAGACAGAATGGCGCGCTACCCTTAGTACTTCTGAATGACATTGACAGATGTCATAGGGATGGGACATGTATAACAATGATCTAGTGTTGCCCCATTCTCCAGCGATTACCGATATCGATACCGTTTTTCTTTTTAAAAGTATTCATAAACATCGAACCAAGTGAATATATGTATACTTAGTTAATTTAATGTTTTTTTCCAGTCTCATAACTCAGCGAAACCATTCGAGTGTCCGACATGCCATCGGTCGTTTGTATCAGCGTTGATACGAGAACGACACGAGCAGCGCGTGCATGGAGACCCTGACAGCTTCAAGTTCCCCTGCAACCAGTGCCCCTGCAGGTAACAACCACCACACAAAATATAACAAACTAGCTATTTGTGATTTAATCTCGTGTGGAATTAAAAAATCAAAAGTAAAACCAATGTGTGTGTGACTATATCTATGTCTACCAAATTTCATCAAGATCCGTTTAGTAGAGGCTACAAATTCTCACAAACATCCATCCATTTCTTTCGCATTTATAATATAAGTAGGTTTAGTATTTTTTTTTTTTTGCAAATGTCACAATTCAAATGCATAAATGACAACGATGGCTTTGCCATTGGCTAATTACCATTACCACAACAATCTTGCTGTGCTGATACTGGCTTGTAATTTTTGTCCCTTTCTCGTATGACGGGTTTTTTTTTTTAATTATTTACCCCCTACTTTAAATAGCGTAGAAATATATATCCTATAGCGTGTAGTAACTGTAGAGTTTGTAGTTAAAAGAAGAATTATTTCAAAAAAATGCGGTGATTGCTGACATCTTACTTAACAAAGTGTTTATTTTTTATATTAGTATAGGTTAACGATATTTTGAATTTCAGATACTTGAAAGCGAAAGATTTAAGAAAACATATGTATAAAGCTCATCCGAAAGGCAAACGGAAGAGGAAAATGCACAGCGATACAGAATAAACCTTAGTGATAACTGCATAAGGTATAGTTTGCTTTGAAAACATTGAACACTACGGTTTTAGACCATATAATTGTCCGTCATAGTTAATTTAAAAAAAAACCGAATTAAAAAAATACTCGGTTCGGAAAACTAAGTCTCTTTGAAAAAAAAAAATACTGAGGGTTGTTATGTCATTTTCGCTTTGTAAATTTACTAACATATTATTTCTTTGATATCACAAGTATTTGAGTCAATAAAATCGTTTATTTTGTTTAAATATTTATCAAAGAAAGTTTTTAAAATGATTATTTCGATGTCTTTGAAAAGTAGATGTGCTAATAATTTAGCAAAATAATCCTAATATGGTTACCATAAAATGACACTCTAGTTTGAAAAATACATTTGTTAGAACCCTTATTTAGGGGTTCTAAATAACTAGTTGCTAAAACCGATTTAAAACTACATTTAATGGCAACTTTTTAAACCATTTTATAACCTCAAAATTTATTAAATTAAAAAAAAAATAATTCATATTTACACGAGAAGTTAAAAAAATAGACGGTTTTTGTTTTAAATAATAAAATGGGTTAAGTCAGAAAGATAATAGACTACTAATCTATGAATTATTTTCGTTTTAAGACATCAAAATGTTATGTTTGTTCGAAATTCAAATATGGTTGACGCCATTTTGTAAATGTGATTGACATTAAAAAAAGTGGCAGTTGTTACCAATTCTTAATTTCAGACAGATTATATTATTTTAAGTGAGAAGGTATATTGTTATATGTAATACAATTATATTTAATAAGTGTGGGTAGAAATATAAATTGTACAGTATTATGAGGGATTGTTTAAAGATTTTTTATGTTATATGGTTAATGGGATACTAAGATTCAAAGACATTTAACTGTAAAATTATATTGTACAGCCAGAAACATTATTTTATTTTACTACTGAATTATAAAAAAAAGAAATATTAAAAAAATCATGTTTTATCAGATTTTTTTGTTATTTCAATAATATTTTGGCATAACAATTTGTAATTGTAAAAAAAATTCGATTTAGTGAAATGTATTTGCACATTTATTGCATTATTTTTATTTCTAAATATCATACATATCAAAAAAAAATATTTTTTTTAGTAAAATCTACGAGATTAATTCCTCATTTTATAGGACTTAAATTTCAATATAATATATGGATATTAACATAAATTTTAAAATATTGTTGAAATGTTGTCTATGGGAAGTATGGCTAGATATAATCAAAAATATATTAAAAGCATAGAGTAAAATGTTAGAATTAAAAAATCTTTAAAATCTGCATATATTAATCATTTATGAGGGTAGATTAAGAAAAATCAGTCGTTAATATTTGCCATGTACCTGGATGATGTTTTTAAATTTTTTAATAGTCCAAAGTTAAATGATAATTACAGTAATTAGTTACCTGTTTAAAATAGGAATGTAAAAATGACCATATAGTGGTCATAATGTAATAAATTGTGGTTCATACAATTTTCACGTCTAATCCAGATTTTTGTATATTGTATAGGGCAACACAGAATTGACCCAAAAGGCTGGAACCCATTTTATTCGCCTCGTTTAGTAAAATGAATCGTAAGAAATAAATGGCAAATTAAATGAAGAACACAATTCACACATACTCCACTTCCACATGGTATTAAAAAAACATAGGTAAGATAAATTACTTTTGGAAACTCAATCAAAAAGTGTAGGGTTACCAAACTAATTTCACTGCCAAAACAGATAAAAAACATGATTCTTGTCTTTGAAAATACTGAAATTTTTTTTGGCTATGGATTTACGAAAAACAAAAGGCCTGTTGTAATTTAGCAATAAAATTAAAGTTTTAAAAACATAGAATAAATATTATTCGGCTTAATTAATTGGTGTCAACATTTTACAATTTTGTACTTTTACAGAGGTTAGATTTATTGGAGGGAATTTACGTTGTCATGCCACAGATTACGTAAGGGATATTTTATAAATGTTGCTTTGAATGTGCAAAATTCTTAATCCGTCAATTTAATTGCGTTTTATTAAGCAACAGTCACAATAACTATCTTTTTAACACTTTAAACATATCACTGTCTATTTTTAAGAAATAACGGGCATCAATGGCTCCTATGTAAACTATTATAAGCCACCATTTTGCGAATTACACTTTGTTTTATTAACCCTTAAAACCTGTAGTTTTTTGATATCGGTTGTAAATCGCATTGGGCACCTACAATCTATTTTATCGGTGGCCTAGTTTTAGTCCCTTTCCACCCTTTTCTTAAGAGGAAAGGATGGGAAGGAAAAGTAGATTGGTCGGTGGAGGAGTCGGATAGGAAGAGGAAATGTCCTCTTTATGTGCGTCTACTCCGTCTATTAATGGTAGGCAACGCATCTGCAATTGCGGATGTTTATGGGCAGCGGACTCTCTCCATTTCGGTGGATTCAGGTGGCCGCTTGCTCGTTTGCCACCTTATGTTATATATTAAAAAAAATAGGATGTTTACATGTTAACTTTGATAATGTTCAAGTTAGAAAACAAAGAGGAGCATATCCCTAAAAGGTTGCTTCATTTAAAGGTATAGATTTCTCGACAACAAGTATATGGATATATAAAAATACCTTTTTGATTTTTTTTACTAGAATACTCTATTCGAACTTCTTTTTCCCCATTAGTAAACGCAATAAAGGCTATACTTATATGTTATTTAATTTGATTTTAAAAAAACAGGCCTTTAAGGGTTAAATTAACTTAATATATAATAATTTCTTTGTAACATTGTGTTATAAAGGAGATTTTTTGTCTGTTTGTTTGACACGTAATAATTAAAATCAATGCTAATTGTTTTAAAAATTGCGTTTTGAACATATGTTAGTTTACATAGGAGCTATTCAATTTAATTTTTTATTGTTTTTATGATATGCATATTTGTTTCCATTTTCTGTTGTATAAATGTGAATCAGTTCTTCCTGTTTTAAACATCTATTGTTTGTTAAAAGTTTGTTTTCTTGTATCTCTAATCATATCATATTTTTGTTATTAATTTTACTTACGAGTATGTCATGGTGTGTAAATATTCCACAAACTTTATTGTACATTAAAATTGTATAGTATTTTTCTGTGTTGTTATTTTTATAGCTACACGAGCTGTTGCCCGCGACTTCGTCCGCGTGGTATTCGAAAACATAAAAACTATATAAATTACAAAAAGCTACGTATCCCTCGGGAACCGAACATTTCTCGGGGATGAAGCTTATCGCATGTGTACTCCAGACTTTGTTTTATATCTGTGCCAAATTTCAATAAGATATGTTGAACCGTTGCAGAATGATCGAGTAAACATTAAAAAACTAAATTAATGAATCCCACGGGAACCGTAACTATTCCCGGGATAAAAAGTAGCCTATGTGTTCTTCCAGACTATGCTCTAAACCTGGGCCAAATTTCATGGAGATCCGTTCAGCCGTTTAGGCTACAAACGCTAACAAACATCCATCCATCCATCTAAACTTTCACATTTATAATATTAGTAAGATTTCCCTCATATTTTACAATCTATTGTGATGAAGAACGTAATGGATTGAAAAATTGAACAGCCTAGTAGTAAAAGGGACAGACAGTGGTCGAGGGTTCAAATCCTGTCATTAGACTAATAAACAATATCATAACACAAACTTAGTACAACATATTCGTAACTTAACAAGAATATTGTTCAAAAAATACTATAGTAACTTTAGTTCAACTACTAGCTGTTCCCGTGCGACTTCATCCGCATAGAATTATAATAACCTTTTTATTGTTTACATTTGTAAAATTCTCAATTGCAAATGTCGAAATTACCATTACCATAATAACCTTGCTTACTTAATGTTGGCAGCTTGTAGTTAATGGTCCCTTTTCCACATGAAGGTATATACATAGACTAAAGCGCGTTGTAAGTGTAGGGCTTTTTATTAAAGAATTATTCAAAAATATGCTGTGATTGTTGACAACCTCGCCAAAAGTAGTGTGTGTTTACCCCTTGTTATAATTATATATTAATAGAAGAATAGAAGGTAGACATAGATAAAGGAGGGAGGAAAGGACAATTAAAAAAAACAATTACAAGAATGGTCCTGTTTATTTACTTATAACAAAATTGAACTCAACCTGTGCACACATGACTTAAACATATTTATAGAAATATCTAAATAAATTGCACACCAAAGTGCATTATGCAACAAACGTACACAAAGTAAACTAAAAAAAATACAAAAATGGCTGCTTTTCTTGCATAAATCTGTAATCACCTTATGTCAATCAACATTTACATAAAATATTAATCTTTCCTCTTAGTAAGGTTATATGAATTTGTAGTGGTGGTACACTTATTCAGAAACATATAGCAAATAGACAATCAGTCAAACATGTCATGAAAAATTTATTATTCATCAAAAATCTACACATATAATAAAATTGGAGAGTCTGTATGTAATATCAAAAGAAAAATTCCAGATTTTGGAAAGACAATGTATTTGCATTGCTGATAAAGTAAATTACTTTTAATATATTTAATATATTGAATAGACAAAGTTGCGGACAACAGCGAGTTCTTAATAAAATGATGACAAAAACTTCTCTTTGTACCAAGTTCCTTCAAAAAAGAACCATGAAAGGTTAAACAATTATTAGACAGGTCTTAATTTTGTAAATACAACTATCTCGAATTAAAATCTCTTATAACATAATTATATTTTAGGCATTGAAGCACCTAAAAACAAAGTATGAAGTGCAGTTACATCACCCTAAAGAATGGTCCTCAATTTGTCTTGGGTAGTACACATACAATGTACTAAAAGGTAATGCTACTCAGCATTGTACTAAAAGTAATGTTACCAAACAGCTTCTGTTAATCGGACATTTGGCACTTTTAGTACACTATACAATATCAGTGCTCGCCTCTTCATTGTTTGATTTGATTGTATATTTGCCAGATTGAAGCATCCACCTTCGGTAATGAGAATCAAAAGGGGATAAAAGCATTTATAACCTAAATTTATTTTCACTAATAACATATGTTTGACAATGCTTAAAATTTGATGTGAAGTAATCTATAACCCTCGTTTTATTCTATTCATGTTATTGTGTTCTCACAAATCTGAAGTAATAAAGGTACTAAAAGTATGTACTAGTATGCTGTACACTTGCAGATGTCCGATTAAGCCCAAAACTATCCTCAATGGGCTTGAAACTAATCTGATACTGGATTAAGTGTAACTTTTTAAATTTAGTTTATATTTATTCATAAAGTAATCTGTTACCGGTGTTATATCAAAAATAGGAAAGGTACAAACATTTAAGCTAAATATTCAAGTAAATCTCTAATACAATATGTTTTTACCATTTTCATGTGTTTAAGATCGAAATACAAGACATTATTAAAAAAGGTAGCAGTTTTTACATGTAAATTTTAAGGACATCGGCTAACTTAAGAAATCTTATTGTAAATTGTCTAATATAAAGATACAAATAATACATAAAGTAGTAAGTTTTGCTAATAAAATTGATCACCTTTACTAAACATTTGTATTAATCTTGATAATTTTAAACTTATCCATCAAACACCACTGTGCAAAAATTATCAAACATCATCCAGTTTATTTCGCACAATTTAACTTTACACAAACTTAATTAACGCTCCTCTAATCGCTTTGACCAGCTGCTTGACGGAGTAAGATGTAAATTTTTTCTTTTATCCAATCTTTATTGTATGGTGCGTACGTATTTGTTGATTTCTGATACACTAAGCAACTGAGATCTGCTAACTGTAAAATACAGAAGAATTATTACTATAACGTTTTCAGTCTATTTAGAAGTAATTTGTCAGCTACCTTACCTGATCAACAAAATCAAACAACTGGGATATATCGTAAGTTATGGTCGGAGTGTTTGGGTTTTTTCTCTTCAAATGCTCCTCGTATATTTTACATACGCCTTCCATACAATCATTGACGCTCTCGTAGTCCGAGTACGTTCTGGTTTCCGGTCTGGAACCGGGCTGGACTAGCAGAATTGTGTGAGACTGAAAAATCAAACATAACCTTAGTTTTACCTCCATTTTCAATTTCTCGGATATTTTAAGTAACATTAAATGTACGTACCATTTTTTAAGACAGAAAAGCTCTTTTGTCGATATAGTTTTGCTTTTTGTAAAACAGAAGTAATTAAACTGCTAGAATTATCTGGAAATTCAAAAAATATATGTATTATTTTACTTTTTCTATCAACTTAACTCAACTCCACTCATAGACAACTGTCACAGATTGTATTCATTCCCAGATTATAAAACGGAAAAAAAAACAGATTAAAGACCTTGGACCATAGACAAATTATTAATCTGTTAAAATGTTATGGTCATTAAAATTGTCAATTTCATGCTGTAAATGTCAAAAATGTTTTCGAAAACTTGTTTATAATAATAAAGGTAAAATCCAAAGAGAACATTACAAAAGTTACATACTGTTCTTAACTCTTGAAATAATATATGATGTGTATAAATTGGTACAATAATGGATGAAGATAGTGACAATAACTTTGAATCTCTACTCAAAAACAGCAAGTTAAGAAAACAACAAATTTATACTGAAACTAGTGAAGTGGGTTCTTCTAGACTTTGTTCTGAAGTAAATTATACACCTAAAGATGTTTTATCAAATATCTCTAAGCAATTGAATGCGTTACAGAGAGCGGATGGTATGAAATCCGATAAAAGTAGACAAAGACTTATGAATGTGGTAAAGCCAGCTTTGGAACCAGTATATTTATTATCCTTGGACAATAACGTAAATATACAACTTTTATACGTAATCTGATTTATAATGGCATTGATTTTGACATATTTTTATTGCAAGTTTGTTCATTATTTAAAAAAAAAGGATTCATATTTTCGCTATTGTAAACTTTTTTCAGTATTATTAATTTATCTTGGTTCAAAATCTCCGAATTTTTGATATCTTATATTCATTATATTAATAAAAAAATATGTGATCATTATTTTTAATTTTCAGAGACCTCAAAGTAATCAAAAGTTTGAAACACAAGGGGTATCAGACACACAACTTATAAATATTGTAGTAAATGCTGAAATATTGGCAACACCGAAAGGTGCGACACAGGAATTTGAAAATTCCTTCTGTGAGAATCATATTGAGGTAAAGAAAAACTCACCGAAAGTGTCACAAGCGAGCAAGAATGATTCTAAGTTAGCAGTAAATAAAGCACAAGAATCTATAAATACTTTAGAAGGTGTACCAAGCACCTCTAAAACCTATAATTATAGGCAAATAGAAGATACATATTTTAGTGAGAAAAGTAATATAGACATAAACAATGTGGAATCTAATGCTGAAAATACCATAAATTTGAGTCCCATTGCGGGTCAAAACAAATGTGTACAGATTCAGAATACTTCACCATTAACTTATACTTTAGATGCATTTGAAAATTTTGAATCATTGGCATTTTCAGTTATTGAACAAAATCCCAATGTTGATTTAGCCAAAGCAATTATTAATTCACAAATAATAGACAGAGAATTATTTATAACAGATGCAAAACCAACAATTAGTGAAGGACCTATAAGTCCAATATTAACAACTGCTAAGAATAATGCAGATTTTAATAAAATAGATCAAAAACCATTCAAAGATCCTGATAAAGTTTATAAAGAAACCAAACGTAAAAAATCCTTTGAAGAAGATATATTTTGTAGTGATGAAGAGAATATTGAAGAAGAAAATTTTCGAGAATTACCAGAAACATGTGCATTAGAAAACTGTTTAAGTAATCCAACAGTCTTAGACAAAACAATGTATGTCGGCTTTCAAACAGCTAGTAACAAGAGTATACAAATCAATACAGACTCATTTTGTAAAGCACAAAATATTCTAGACGAAATAGATTGTGATTATAATCCAACTTTAGTTGAGTTAGTAGAAATATGTGATAAAACAAGCAAAAACCAATCAAACGCTATGAGAGATGAAGTACATAAACCAGTATCGCAACAACTTAGTAACAACGATAAATTATGTACTAAGACTACTGCAAGTACTAGTTCTGAAGTTAATTTGTCAAGAGAACTAAAGCCATGTTCTAACAAACTTGATCACAATAAGGCAGAAAGTGCTATTAAAGTTACAAATAAGCCTGCAAAATCTGGAGAAGATATTGATTTAATAGGATTCAAAACAGCGAGTAGTAAGAAAATTAATTTATCTGATAAAGCTTTAGCAAGGTGTCGTCAGGTATTTCAAGATATAAATCTTGATGAGATACTTGATCCTAAGGAAATATCAAATACTTCTAGTTCTATAAATGCAGCTCTACAAAATAATGGTACAAACGAAACTAAAGCCCAATATAATGATGAATTTCTTGAGGTTTCAGAACAAATAGCACTGAATGATCAGACAATTCTTCAAGAATTTGAAAATGAGTTACTAGCCACAGCTGTAACTGATTTTGAGAAAGGACAACAGGAAGAGACAATTGAAAATCCAATAGAAAATAAAAAAGACAAGAAAGGTTTTAATCAAAACATACATGTCAATGAACATAACAAACTTTCAGAAAGTAAAAGCAACGAATTGCACATTAACCATAAAAATATCGATTTCAATAAAGAAATATTTGTAGGTTTTAAAACGGCGAACAATAAAAAAATCAAGATTTCAGAAAATGCTTTAGCAAAGACAAAGAATATTTTCGAAGAATTTAACCTTTTTAATGAAGTGGACAAAAAAAAAAAAAAGGATGAAGGTATAAACAGAGAAACTAAGCCATTATATCAAAACATGTTCAAGGAACCTTTAATATTAAATGAAAAAGAAACTTGTGGATTTGTGACAGCTAGTAAGAAACCCATTGTAATATCATCAGAGGCCCTTATAAAAAGTAAAAAGGTATTTGAAGATATTGTCAATGACATAAAAAATGACATTGAATTGCCAGAAAAAAATAATTCTAATAAATGTGTGAAAAATAGTATACAAAGTAATAATTATATCAAAGAAACTTATCAAACTAAAAGTTCTACAGTTGATAATAATGAATCACATAAATCTAACAATGAACATGAATTTAAAATACCACATAATCAAACAAAGAAGTCTGTCAATATTTGCACAAAAAGTGAACTGTTTAAAGATATGCTTGATTTTTCTGGAAGTTATGGTGCAAAAGAAGACTGCAGTATAGAAAGTAGCCATAAAAGTAACGAAAATAAAAATATGAACCAAGTTTTTAAAGGTTTTCAAACTGCCAGTAATAAGCAAGTAAAGGTTTCAGAAAAATCATTAGCTGCGAGTAAGAAATTATTTGAGGATCTACAAATAAATGAAAACGATAATATTAATGTGGAAAGTTATATTTTGAAAGAAAAGCAAACAAAATTTACCAATAAAGATTCAACTCCTCAAAATGAATTTAACAATGTCCAAAATGAGAATGAGATATTTAATAATTTCAAAGGAAAAATAGCATTCGAAGGACAAAACTTTAATAAACATCAAGGCTTCAATGGTTTTCGTTCAGCAAGTAATAAAGTTATTAAAATTTCAGAACAAGCTTTAGCTAAAAGTAAGAAAATGTTTTTAGATATAGATGAACAGATTATAAACAGCGCGGAACCGTCAACTAATTTACTAAATACTGAATTGAATGAACCTGTCAAGAAAATCAATAAATTTGAAACAAACAGTGAAAACAACTGTAATGAAGAATATAGAGATATTTTACCAAATAGTAAAAGAATTAAAATATCAAATCAACTTTTAGATGCCAAGATATCACAAGATTCAAATCAAGAAAATAAACAATCTCCATTTAAAAGTCAATCAACAGAAAAATTCACTCCAACAATTAATAAAGCAAGTACAAACTTTGAAATACTATTTAAAACAGCAAATAATAATAATATCAAAATCTCCGAAGACGCATTACTTGAATCTAAAAGAGTTTTAACGGATTTGAATCAAAATGATCAAGTTATTGAAACTAATTTTTCTCAAAGTACCGACAAGAAAAATGAGGGTAGTACAGAAAATATACTGAATACCCAACTATTGAATAACTTTGAAGATACTTTGTACACTGAAGATTTTTGTAAAGATGTACCAAAAACTACAAAAAGGTGTGGTAGCCCTATTCTGTCATGTCCAAGAGCTAAAAAGCTCAAAAGATTTGAAGTGCCATACAATAAATGGGAAATTCCTAAAATAAAATCCAAAGAAAACAAGGCAATCGAAGTAAATTCTTCTATAAAATTTACGTTTGATAAAAATTATAAGAGGAATAATAAATTATCTATGAAAAATTTAAAAGATATTGACTGTAACAAATCTGTTGAGATAGATCCTTATATTTTATCTTTTAACTTTGAAAATACGTTAGAATTCAAATTTTCAAATAAACGGAATGAAGTTAGCGACGAGATTCTGAGTACAGACGATTTAAAAAAATATTTTTTATCTCTGGTCAATAAAAATATTATACCCGACGGTTGGATAGACAATCATCTGAAATTGATTATTTTCAAATTGATTTCTTATGAAAAAGAATTTAAATACACAATGAAAAGTATCTGTTCTGTTAAAAATGTGTTAGAACAACTGAAATATCGTTATGACAGAGAATTGTATAACGTAGAAAGGCCTGCGTTCAGAAAGTTACTGGAAAAAGATGATGTATCGACAAAGACAATGGTTTTACGAGTGATTGCGATTTTTGTTGATGGTGTTATAGCAGAGAGGTGTGTAAATATAAATATTTTTATCTTAAAGACACAAATTTCTATGGCCAACGACACAAATCGCTTAAATAGGAACTATAGCTATGGTAGAGGAAATAGTACAAGAAAGGCTATAAATTAAAAACATAACCTTTATCTTTACAGTATACCAGATACAAGCAATATTGAACTGCTTCTAACAGACGGCTGGTACTGTATAAAGTCTAGTCTAGACCAAATGTTGACTAGACTAGTTAAAGACCATAAAATCAGAGTCGGTACTAAATTAGTCACAAATGGTGCTGAATTACTGAATTGCGAACAAGGGATCGCACCGTGGGAGGTAATTTTATATAGACTCTTTTTTCTATTTCTTTTCTGTTGTCTCTCTCTCTTTTTAACTAGTAAATATTGTTTAACAATGGATTTCAATAAAGTACATCATGTTCTTTCTGTCCTTACATTCGACGCACCGGTCATCTCTTTCACGCAGTCCATCCATCTCTTTCTAAGTCTACCTGTACCGCAGTACTTATAACTAAAGTTCTTATTGTAGGATACCTCAGCTGTAAGGTTAAAACTGTTCGGCAATTGTACGCGGCGCGCGCGTTTTGATGCCAAGCTCGGCTATCACAAAGGGGCGGCCATCTTGAGTCGCCTGTCAAAAGTGCAACTAGAGGGCGGGAAAGTGTCCAAATTACGCGCTCTCGTGACGCGAGTGTATCCAACGCTATACGTTGAAAAGTTTGAGGATGGGAGTACAGGTAAATGAGGGCATAGCATTCTTTAGGTTAGTTAGAAAATCTTTCTTGAGGTTAGGTTCCTAGGAAGTCTAACAGTATAGATGGCGGCACATTATTTTTAAGAAGCAATTAATATTTTAAATTGGATTTGGAGAATGGGACTCATAAGTAGGGGAAATGTCCTCTTTCAGTGCGTCTCTTGTCGATCAAAAGTATTTGCTATTGCGGAAGCATTCACTTCGCTATTTTTTTTAAAAAGATGAAAGTTCTTTTTTTTTTCTTTGTGTACTTAATATTACACTCGGTTACAACTAGAAAGCTTAATATAAATCTAAATCTGGGGGGAAATATAAAAAAAAAACACTAATAAAAACACTAAGAGCTTCCTTAATGTACCATAGGTAATTATTTTAAAACTAACATTACTTATGCTGGGTTGCTGAAGTTTCTATTTTGGCTTTAACTCATGTTTATATTTGTTTAATTATTTAAGTGACTAGATCAGAGCGTCTGGAACATCTGTACCAAATGAAATACGAATCCGACAGACAAGTGTTACTTGAGAAGATTTACGAAGAAGTTCAGAAAGAATTTATCGATGAGGTTAGTATAACACATAACACAATATTCAACATCTATCTGTCCTTATCCTACTTTATTAGTATGATAAGGACAGAGATATTAGTATGATAAGTTTTTTTTTTTTCATTTTTGTGAACCAGGATTCTCAAGATTCAGAATGTGACGTGGATGTCAGAAATCTGGAGACAGGCTCTCAAATACACAGATTAATGAAGAGGAGCAGAGATTCTGGAGAATTTATTGTAAGTATAGTACAGATAATAACTATACTATTGTACTATGTATTATTTTGATTAGACTTTAATTTTTACTATATGTCGTTAAATTACCATAATATCCCCTGCAAACTAAAAAAACTGTCACATAACATTTACAGTCATATTCTGAAACGAAACTGAAACACTTAGCGTTAGATGTCCAAATTTTAATGGAAAAATTTAAGCATAGTCTTGGACTGGCTTTCGCCCGCGACTCCGTCGGCGCGGAATTAAAAAAAACAAATTCAAGTAGCCTATGTGTTATTCCAGACCATCCTCTACATCTATGCCAAATTTTATCGAAATCCGTTCAGCAATTTAGGTTACAAACTCTAACAAACATCCATCCATCTAAACTTTCGCATTTATGATATTAGTATGATTGCCGTTTCAGTATTTACCCGTTAAACTTAGTCATGGTAAATATGGGCGCCGTAGAAATCGACTTTTATATTGATCGATAGGCGAGGCCAGGCCGCTAGCATAGGACATTGATTTCTTTTAAATTCATTAAAGCCATTTTGAACTAATCAGATAAAATCTATTCCCAGGCTAATTTGACAAACACGCAATGCACAACACTACAGAAGTACACAGACAGACGGCGGGAAGTTGTCCTGCAAACTCTTCAGGCCAGGGTCAGTGACAGGGTAAGGGAACAGGGTCTGCAGATCGGCAGGAACGTGGTGCCCGTTATGAAGATCAGGGTCGCTGATGTCAATGATGATGGAGAGGTTTCCAAAGGTATTAAAAAAACTTGGGAAAAGTATACATTCAAAGTAAATATCCTCTAGACCTAATCTAGATCATCACTTGGTGATGCCTATGGCTAGTTTTTTTTTCAGACAGAACTAAATACATTGCCAGTACTCCTAACCTAAATAAATTTAATAAAAAAATATTCATTTTTTAGCGATGATGTCAATTTGGCGACCAAATGAAGCTGTGATTGATATTGTAAAAGAAGGAACTTGGATAGACGCTTTTAATATTGTCCCTACGGCTAGAAGGTAAGGTAGTTCAATAAATTTAAATAAACGCCTATTCTTAAATTTGTACTGAAAAATTGGACTGGTACGTATGTCGAAAAAAAAATACTAATGTTTTTCAATGCGAGTTGTTAATAATGAAAACGAGATTTTTAATCAAAATAATATATATCTGGGACGGCTTTTTATAGGTTACATTTTTCATATTTTGCGGTGACGAAGTCGCGAGCGACTCTTGTTCAAATTAAAATGTAATATGTCTAATTTCTGTATTTCAGATATTCAGAAATACAACTGTCCGCTGGTAGACAGAGTGTTTTCAGCCGATCTAACTATAAAGTGAACGAAAAAGTTCAACAAATTGTCACAAATCTCAAAAGAACTTGCTATAGTATCGAAAATTTGGTCAAAATGCCCACAGCTGTCACGGACTATAACGAAGTTGACGTTGTAGGATTGATATTTACAATAGAGCCATCTATCGGTCAGTTCGAAGCAACAAGAGGACAACAATTTCAAAATGTCTATTTAACAGATACGGATAAAAATATTATCTGTGTCAATTTTTGGGGCGGGTTAAAAAAGTTCGGATATGAAAATATACTCGATACGGGTATAGTTGTTGCGTGCATGAATCTACAGAAAAGAACAGGAAATTCTAGAAAAGGCATTCAACAATATAGAGCCACTGAATACTCTTATTTTACAAAAACTTCCAAACACAACAATGTGAGAATAATGATGGACGATTTAAATAAAAGTTTATTATCTGTAAATATTAAACAGCTATGTGAAAGTTGTGTTGCTATAAAAAATAATATTTCAATAACGAAAAACGTTGAAAACGTTTCTCCTTATAGGATAAATTATAGCGACTACAATATATCGAAAAACAGAGTGTTCATAGATTCCCCATTAGCCAGTAAACCAAATCACGTTGATGATATTTTCAACCTTAGCGGCTTAGACTTTGAGTCGACATTCAAACAAATCGATACACAAGATGTCCCAGCTGATGTAATATTAAGAAAAAAGAAAGTGAACGAGAAAATTGCTAAACTAAAAATGTACGGAGAACCTCCACCTTTAAAAGCTATTCATATAATAAACAAATCGAAAAATGCAACGAAAGAATTCAAGAGTCCATTAGCTTCAAGAAATGACAGTTCAAATAGTGTTGCCAGTGAGAAATTACACAATAAACCAAATACAAATAGTGCCATAAGTTGTACAGAATCTACTCCTGAAACATCTAATAAGCATATGAAGAGAAATGCAAATCCAGTTAAATTGAATTTTTGTAGTAAACCTGAGGACTGTGGTGATAAAATAGATCCGTTTGGGGAAGAATTTGACGTCAGTCCACCATTAAGTTTGGATTGAATTTTATTTATAAGAATTTTTGTGGTATATTTTAAATGTGTACCATAAAGTTTCGCTAGTTACCATATAAAAATGTGTAATACGCACTCTTTTCATTACATTATCGTACCGAAAATGCTTTGCCATTCGTAACAGTGATAAAACTTTATTTTATTGTTTATATTCTGTAAAATTTTCATTTGCAAATGTCAAAATTCATTAAATAACATTGAAGGGTGTTGCCATTGTATAGCAATTACTGTTACCATAGTAATCTTGCTTATTTGATGCTATTGGCTGTTACTTTTTATACCTTTTTCGTATGCCTTTTTCAAATTAATTCTAAACTTAAATTAAATACCGTGAAAACATGGCCTAAAGCGTATTGTTAGTGTAAGAATTTTTATTATAAAAAATATGCTGCGATTTCTGACACCTTGCTTAACAATAATATCTTATAGTTTGATGTTAGTAAGTTTATGTATGTAATGTAAATAGTAATTAAGTCTACATAATGTAAAAATTGTACATTTTGTAAATTGTTCATTGCCGTACAAAGAATATCAGTATTGTAATTGCCCAATTGATTGGTTTTGTTGATTATATATTTTCAGTAACTTTGTTTTTTTCTTTATTACCTCTATTATGCACACTTTTTTGCTAGTTTTATAGTTTACTTCTAAAAGTAATAGTGATATTATTACAAAATAAGAAATTCACTTAAAGATTAAAAAATTCTATACCACTGTTATAAAGAGGAAAGTTTTGCATTTTTGTATTTAAATAACTCAAAACTATTGGCCATTTAAAAAAATACGTTATCAGCGAATAACATAGACTACGTTTTTAAATTTCACGTGAACGAAGTCGCGAGTAACAGCTAGTACTTGATACTATATTCAAATTCGTGCATACATTGTCGCATGCTACAGCTAACTAATGTTTTTGCATTCCATTGCACAATTTTGGCAGTTTTGAAGCGAGAGAGGGTAACACAGAATAAGAGCGTAAGTGAACCCTATGTTCTTTATCTTACTTACTCATTACTTACTCTAAAGAATTACTTTAATGTGGACTAATAACATCATTTTTATTTAGTTACAATTTTGGATAAAAATGTTTTAATCTTAAAAGCAATGTCTACCTCGCAGGAGATTTCATAAGCTGGTAACATTATCGTTCATTGTCAGTTGAAGGTCACCTTGATCTTATTCCAGTTTGACGTTTTATAACCTACAAAAAAATAATTTCATTTGAATTTTCTACCCGCGTAGTCTTGCGTTATGTGTTCATATCGTATTAAATGAAAACATATGTGATAAAAGTTGTAAAAAAGATCGATTAGTGCCACGTATGCAGTGAAATAAGTGAATTATCTGTAAATAACGCAGTTATTAATTATCGGCGTTTTGGTTTCCAATTCTAATCGGTGAGCGAACTTTTTTTTATGGTCCATTGGCCTCCAACTCTTCTTTAATTAACTTTTCGACGTGGTTAAAAATAGTTTCGATTTATGTTTTAATTTTCTTTCATAAACTGAGTTATATTTTAATGTGAAATAATTTTAAACTGCAGATAAACAGTAATATTATTTTTTAGCAAGAAAGTAGGTAGATATGTAGAAAATAACATTTTTCTGTTAAAAAAAAGTAAAAACGCTCTGATATCGTAGTTTTGTATTGACTTAAACCGCTAGAAAGTTTACTAAACTAATATTATAACTTTTCTTTAAAATTTAAAAAGATAATGGAAGTCATAAACATTTTAGATACTTTTTTTGTTCCATTGTTTCGTGTTAATACAGTCATTTTAAATATAGAATACATTGAAAATATTTTAAAACACTTGAATAACTGGGTTAAATTAATTAAACATTTTGTTAGCAAATATAACACAAACTGCACACTTAGAGACATCAGTCACTAAGACACTTTTGCAGATTTTGCATTTTAAATCTACACAAAGGGATCACTTAACAACTGTGAGTGCCGAAGTCATTGTGCTTGTAGCAGGCCTTTTATAATTCACTTGACAACAAACATTATTGCTTGATAATTACTTGTTATTCTTAAGATAAGATGTTTACGTAACTGGTGTTTTAATATCAGTAGATGTCAACTGTATATGATAATTTAAGCCATAAATATTAATATCTTGTTACAAAAACAAGGGGTAGGCAGAGAAAATAACATTTGTAAACTTATCTTTGAAATGGTTTACATTGTATTCTAACTAGCTTTACTTGCAATTACATCCATACGGTATTAAAAAAAGTACTTAGTGTTTGTTAGTTATGAATGTGGAGGGATACACCTGTAGAGGTAGACCTAGTGAGAGATGGATGGTTTGAAAGGTGACATGATCAAGAAGGGAGTGACTGAGATGGATGATAAAGTTATTTGGAGGACGACAACCCGATGCGCCGACCCTAAGAGAGTATGTAAGGCAGGGGAGATAATGATGTACATTCAGACTATATTCTACATCTGTGTCAAACTTTATTTAGATCCTTTCAACGATTCTTGAGATACCTTCAAATGCTTAACCTGCAGTGAATCTACACTGCTAAAATATATTATAAATGCCAAAGATTAGATGGATGGATGTTTGTTATAGCTTGTAGCCTAAACTGCTGAATGGATTGTGATGAAATTTGGCATAGATGTAAAGGATCTGGCAGAACACATAGGCTATTCACATTAGTTTATCTTTAATGACACACGGACAGAGTCGTGGGCGAAAGCTAGTACACAATAATTCAACCTACATGTCATTCAATATGTCTTTAATTGATAGATTCATATTTCTTGTAAGAAATACATTTTGATATTAAAATTATTGAACTATTTTATCAGTCACGGCTAACCGACCTTAAATGATAACATTTATGTAGTAAATAAATTATCAATGACTTTACTATGTTTTATCTTTAGTATAAGATAGCACATGGATTCAGCTAAATGTAAATGAAATTTATTTTACATTTAGATCCCTCATGAGTCCATGTGCGTGGCATTGAAAAAAGTGAAAGTAAGCCTCTGTATTTTTGAGAGGATCCTCTTCAAATTCCAACGATACCAGATATCAATTATTTAACGGCTTACTCACGTCATACTTTTTTCGGGTGACGGCACCGACTAGTTTCTAGAGAGAGTTCGGTGACTAGATATCCTCTTTATATGCATCTCCTCTTCCGTCGAATAATGGTCGGCAACGCATCTGCAATTACAGATGTCTATGGGGTCGATTGGACATTTCGGCGGACTTAGGTGGCCGCTCGCTCGTTTACCACCTTATGGTAAAAAAAATATCTATCCATCTAAACTTTCGCATTCATAGCAAGATTGGTAAAGATGTAAGGAATAGAGGAAGTTTAAAAATAACAGCAGTGGTAGAGAAATTATTGAGTAAGATGAGCATGGTGCATATGCATGCTGTTAGAGCCTAGAAAGAGATGGATTGCTATAGCCTAAGTTGTTTCACCAATGGTGCCTTTTCTCAAATTTATTTACATTTGTATATTTTCGTCATATCTAAAGATTATTTAGTCCCTTACATTATTCCTTTATTCTAGTCATACTAGTTTTGAATCTAGACTTTGTGTAACGTTTCCCGAAATTCAATACCCTGGTCGTTGACATAACGTCGGCGAAGCGTGCCACAGTCTGTTCGAGGTCCGCGAACACCAGTCGCTTATTGCTGTAAAATGTGGTCATTATGTCAAAGTTAGATAGTCTTATTGTCGATATTATATACTCTGTGGTAAGTTTGTGTTACACTTTCGCATATATTGACTTTCATCTGGTCTGCTTACACCAATCATATTACACTTCTATACTGTTGCAATTTTAAAGAAATCTGACTATTGCGTGCCTAAGGCTGTATTATACCTATCCCCATTTCCAACATCTTCGTGATAAGGTTGACAAGTGGACTTGGCAGGGGATGGGATGCATTGATAGGGAAATATCCTCTTTTTATGCGTCTCTTCCTCTGTTATTTAAAAGTGGTCCACCGCGCTAAAAGCAGGTGTCTATGGGCAGTCGCTTCTTTATTTCGGACAATGACGGCCACTTGCTTGTTTGAAAAATATAAAAAAGAATAACATGATACAAAAATAGCATTTTTGTCTTTTTTCTTTTCTTACTTATTATATAAATGTTCGTAACACACCCACAATGTAACAAGTGCAATATCTTGCATCTATTTACATAATTTTGTTACGTCGCAAAAACACGTCTTTGGAACACGCCCAGATTTTAATATTAGGTATATTAAAATAGTTAATTATTCATTCGTAGCTAAGAACGACGCAAACTTATTGCGGAAACTAATAACAATGTAAACAGCATTAGAAGATTACCGTATAATAAAACCACACTAAGGGAATCCCTTAATAGCCGCTTAAACAATCGTAATTGTTACTGACATTATAAATGCGAAAGTTTAGATGGATGGATGGGTGTTTGTTAGAGTTTGTAGCCTAAACGGCTGAACGGATCTCGATGAAATTTGGTACAGACGTAGAGGAAGTCTGGAAGAACACATAGGCTACTAATTTTGTTTTTTTTTTAACTCCACGCGGACGGAGTCGCGGGCGAAAGCTAGTATAACAATAAAATCTCAACACGACTTTACTTTCCTGGTTATAGGTGACAATGTCGCGCGACAGGTCGTCCCGCCGCTTCTACCGGGCGGAGTCCACGCACGACCTGCTCTCCTTTATGGACCGAGGGCAAGCCGCGATTGAGGAGAACAGATGGACGTTTGAAACTGCTTGGGAAGCGGCTAACAAAGGTAAGGCTTTTTATGCCCTATCCTTCCGTTATAAGAGGTAGAAGATATATACATACTTCTTTCGCATCAAGCATGTCTTCTGGAAGATTGGTATTGCCGGTTAAGGTGTCTCATCCTGTAACGACAGATGTTCATGGGTTTATCAATATTTATGTTTTTAAAAGAGGAGGGGACTGATGAGTAACGGGTTTGAGGTGATCATTAACAACCATAGACATCCGCAATACCAGAGGATGTAGTAGAAAATTGAGAAGGTGATACGCTCTCTTCTTGGCCCTAATTCGTAGCGATTTAGAAATATCGCGGAGGGTATATCATTTCACGACTATTTACTACTATACTCAATTAAAGTGAAGGAGCAGGAGGCTAGATACGCTTATATCAGGAGAAACTTTCTGCTCCGTACAGCCGCGTTGTGGAACGGTCTGTCCTCGGCGGTATTTCCAAACCAATACGACTTAGGGTCCTTCACAAAGCGAACCTACAATTTCCTCAAAGGCCGGCAACGCATCTGTAGTTCCTCTGGTGTTGCGGATGTCCATGGGCGTCGTTGACCACCTTTGTGTTCCCGCCGCTCGTTTGCCACTTCTCATATAAAAAAAGACTCATATGTCTTATCTGCACCACTATTATCTGTAACGTCGTAATATTTTTTATTGTCCTAAACATATCTAAGTACAAAATGTGTCATGTACCCGAATTAACTTACTGTTTCGTTTTGTCTTTTAAGCTATGCTCCATTTCTCACAAGGTCCTGTATACAATAGTCCATTGTTCTTCGGACATTTGCTTACATTTGTATTATTGAAAACCAGTTTTACTTGTCCATTCTACGTCGTATTTACAACATTACAGTTACATATGTATAGGGCGTTAACCTAGTTTGCGAATATTTTATATGGTCATTTTGACCATATGTTGAAAATTTTATTACGACGGTTTCAGAACAGACTTTCTTATGATATAAAAATAAGAATTTAGTACCAAACACGTAATAAAGTATGCCTTTCACTTAAATGCAATTTTGATTCTGAAATAAATTACAGGATGTTTTTTTTTCCAGTCGGTGGTATCTACACTGTTATAAGATCGAAAGCCTATGTCTCAACTGAAGAAATGGGAGAGAACTACTGCCTACTGGGTGAGTGGAAACAAAAGCAGTACTTATTAAAAAAACGGAAACCTTGTAAGGAAGATTACGAACCGAATGAGCGTTTCTTGAAGACAGTCTGAAAGTTTTTTTGTTATGTAGCAATAGATAAATGCTATCTGTTGGGTAATATTGTCGTCGTGTTTTTAAACTGTTTTAAAATCAAACCAATAGATGGCGCTATTAGTCTGCCAATCAAGTTTTTGGTGTATTTAAATTATCTACACATTTGTATGATTATTGTCTAGGGCCATACAAGGAGCATTGTGCAAGAACAGAAGTAGAAGAAGCCGATTTTCCCCCGAATTCTCCTCTCACTACCGCAGTTAACGCAATGCGGAGTCAGGGATATAAGGTATAAGAGCTCTTGTTATATTGGTCAAGTGTTCCAAGTTCAAGGAGTTTCCTTACATACCAGTATTACTTGCTCTCCTAGTTGCACACTGGTACGTGGCTGGTGGATGGCAACCCTCAGATCATCTTGTTCGATATTGGATCTGGTGCGTGGCAGCTGGACGGCTACAAGCAGGAGCTGTGGGACACCTGCAGTCTCGGTATACCGCATCTGGATGTGGAGGCTAACGATGCAGTTATACTTGGATTTATGGTTGCACAGTTTGTCACTGAAGTAAGTGGTTTATAGAATACTAGCTTCGCTGGCAACTCCGTCCGCGTTAGTATAAAAAAAATAACAAAAGTGAGTAGCCTATGTGTTCTTTCAGACTAACTTCTACATCTATGCCAACTTTCATCGAAATCCGTTCAGCCGTTTAGGCTACAATCTCTAACAAACATCCATCCATCCATCTAAACTTTCGCATTTATAACATTAGTATGATAGAATAATTGTGTTTTTGAAGTGTTATGCATAGATTTAACGGTGAAGATGTCATAGGAAGTAGATATTTCCTCTGTTGATAAAAGTTAGGCAACTGATCCGCAATGACGCTTCGCTTTGGCGAATTTAAATGGCCACTTGCTAGTTAGCCTTCTATTATAAAAATCTAAAATTTTATTTCACAAGATGGCATACTAGTGGCTACCTAATTTCGCCTAAATAGCGAAGCGTCATAGACATACAAATGAAGCGTTGACTAACTTTAACCATCAGAGAAAGCCAAAGAAAGGGTAATTTCCCCTTCCAAAACATCAGATTCTCTCATATCCTTATAAGAAAAGGGTGGGTGTACAAAAAATTACCTCAATCACTTTTGAAGTTTCTAAGTAATCATTTTTCTATATGTTTACAGTTTAGAAAAGCAGCTGAAAGTTACAGTGATACTCCCCCACGAGTTGTGGCCCATTTCCACGAATGGCAAGCCGGCATAGGACTTATAGTTCTCAGGTGAGAACCCTGTCTCTGTTTTTCTAAAGAGAATAAAAAGTCAATACTGTGACAGATGACGTCATTACACGTTGTTCGATACAAAAGAGGTATCACTAATCTCTCTAAACTAAATTTTATAATTACAGACTTAAATGTTTTTGTCATCAATTTAAACATTGATACATTTTAGAAAACCATAGACAATAAATGGCATTACAGCTTGTAAATTCTCATTTCTAGATCATAGAATTCGACCTTAAACTGTGGATTATAGACCAAAAGGTATTTGTTACAATTTTAAAAACATCAATTATCGATTAACATACGTAGCCATGACAACTGGAATTTTATAATCTCTACTTACCCTGTTTGATGTTTAATTAATTAATTTATAATGTTTACTATTCCAGAGTACGTCACGTAGACGTGGCCACAGTGTTTACGACACACGCCACACTATTGGGCAGATATCTATGTGCTGGCAACACTGATTTCTATAATAACCTTGATAAGGTAATTTTTACTGTATTATTATATTTAAATATATATATATATATATATATATATATATATTCTATGTTACTCACTGACAACATATCTTTTTAATGGTGAAAAAATTTTTCAAATCGGCCCAGTAGTTTTTGAGTTATTTCAATACATACAAAAATAAAAATACAATTCCCAGTCTTCACATTAGTACTTATTATTTACTGTATTTGTGGTAACAGTCTTTTTGATGATTTGAATGAAAAAGAAGTTGATGATTCTATATCCGTCTCTTTCTAGTTCTCAGTGGACGAGGAGGCGGGAAAGAGACAGATATACCACAGGTACTGCATGGAGCGTGCAGCTGCGCATATGACCCATATATTTACTACAGTCTCTGATATTACAGGTTTGTTATTTCTATTATTATTGTTGATGTAATTAACTAGATTTCTCCCGCTACTCCTTGTGGAATAAAAAAAACAAAAGTAGCCTATATGTTCTTCCGAACTATCCTCTATCGAATTTCAACAGGATTCAATCAGCAGTTTAGACTACAAACTCCAACAAACATCCATCCATCTAAACTTTTATATTTCAGTATTTTTCTATATTTTTTTAAAAAAGAAAAGGATAAAAACCCATACATAAATGTCTTTTTCTGTACATCTCCCCTGTCTATTACAATTCCGGCTTTAACGTGTATCTCCAGGGTACGAGGCGGAACACCTCCTGAAGCGGAAACCAGACATCATCACCCCCAACGGTCTGAACGTAAAGAAGTTCTCCGCACTCCATGAGTTCCAGAACCTGCACGCGCTCGCTAAAGACAAGATACATGAGTTTGCTAGAGGACATTTTTATGGGTAAGTTAATTTTGCCAAAATAGTCAGAAAATCATACTAACGCCATCTATGTTTGAAAAAAACAACATTTTTATCGACACTCGCTTTTTATATACTTTGTCAGCGCCGTATTAGAAAAAGTTGCCTGAAAAGGTCTTTAAAACAGATAAATAGACAAAAATGATCATTGCGTTTTATTTATCAGTAACGTAAATAAATTGTGTATTGAACGAATCTTGACTTGTTTTTTACAATAATACATACTGACATTCCAATTTTATCATGTTATGGTATAATTTTTACATATTTTATTGTATATTTGTTAAAAAATGATATTAAATTGATGTTTTTTCTATTTTAGGCACTTTAACTTCGATTTAGACAAAACGCTATATTTCTTCATCGCTGGTCGATACGAGTACGGCAACAAGGGCGCTGATATCTTCATCGAGGCACTTGCAAGGCTCAACCACTACCTTAAGGTAACTATGTAATGTTTAAGAATGTTTTACATAACACTTTTATACTACTATGCCTTTATTATTTATACCATATTATACGACTATGGCTTTTTTGTACTAAACAGAACAGAAAACTACAGTCACTTGCACATAAGTGTTAACTATTATATTTTTTTTAATGTCAATGCGATTTGCGAACCCATTGTCCAGTTTTATTTCTTTTTGATTTACTATCCTCTACTATTCTTTTAATATCTCTAACGCTCCAAAGATGGCGTTGTCAACAAAATGTAATAAGATGTATTTTACAGTTAATACGTCTAACGATCAATAGATGGCGTTATCACTAAAATTACATTTTAATTAAGTACGTCTAACGGTCAAAAGATGGTGTTATCACCAATACTAAATGTTATTTATTTTTTAGTCATCAGGTTCAGACACAACAGTAATAGCGTTCCTGATCTTCCCCGCGAAGACGAACAATTTCAACGTGGAGAGTCTGCGCGGACATGCTGTCACTAAAGCCCTGCGCGACACCATACAAGATATACAGCAGAAAGTCGGCAAGCGGATGTATGACATATGCCTAAGGTAATAATGATCAAAATACGTTGACATACATCCCAAAAGCTTCAACAAAGCATGCAATCGACAGTTTGTGCAAATTCTTAACATTGTACTCATCTATGACTGACTTGTATATTTTTAACTTAATTCGGTGAATTGATTTAAGCTAGGTCTGGGGTGAATGGGGGATTAACTTACTATGGTTTTACTCGAAGTAATTTTTATTTATTTATCTAATTTGATTTCCCTAGTAGAGTGGGGCTATCGTACTTAGTAAAAATAGTTAATTTCTAATATAATTTTCATCTATAAAAATGAAAAAAAAAAGGTACTAGCTGGGTTTAATTAATTCAGTAATAGATGGCGCTATTTTCAAATGTAAAATGTATCGCTAGATGGCGGTGTTAGCTAAATTTATGATTTTTGTATTATAGAGGTCATCTCCCGGAGGCTTCAGACCTCTTAAACAAGGAGGACACGGTACGTATGAAGAGGTGCATCTACGCGCTGCAGAGGGACGGCCTCCCGCCTGTTACTACGCATAATGTTGTAAGTTTTTTTTTTATATTCGTTAAACTATTGCTTTACCATATTCCCTTCTGATGAAAGATAATATAGAAATTGCGGTTTATTCTTCTTTTAAAGGCTCTTTTCATTGGGCAGAACAACTGACGCCGGCAACTTGTTTTCGTTTTGTTATTACCTGACTGTTGGTACTTGTTGGCCTGATTTAAGTTCATTTTTCTTTACCACCCTTTTCTTATAAGAGGATGGGAAGAGGAGATGCATAGGAATATGCAATGTCCTCTTTATGTGCGTCTCCTCCTCGGATAAGGGTACGCAATCTGCAATTGCGAATGTCTATGGGCAGCGGTCGCTTCGCCATTTTGGCGGATTCAGGTGTCAGCTTGCTCGCCACCGTATGTTATAAAAAAAACTTTTGTATTATGGTCGATTTTTGTTTTTAGGTTGATGATTGGAGTGATCCTGTGTTGAACGCGATCCGAAGATGCCACCTCTTTAATACAGTTAATGACAAAGTTAAGGTTTGTGACATTTATCTTACTAATAAGAATACGAAAGTCTATATAATATATATATTTTTTTAATTTCTCTTCTCCATTTCACTTATAAGCATGTTTACCATCTTCTTATTTATTTAAGGCTGCAACTGACGTACTGTCACAAAAGGCCTTTGCAGAATATCAGCGCTTATTGCTATAAAGTAATGAGCACTTAGCTGAGTAAAGGCCTTATCCATTCAGCGTAGCAAACACAATAAAAAAAATTCATAATTTTATATTTACTAACGTGTGTATGTATATAATTTTTTTTTCTTTTTTGTGTATGTTTTCAACTGTGTAATTAATTATATAGTGTTTGCTTTATGAATGGATTAAATGATGATTATTATTATTATTATATAGATGTTTGTTAGAAATTATCTATAAAACGGTTGACTGGTATTCGATTGAATTTGACACATAGACTACTTACTGAGGTTTTTTAATTCAGCGAGGACAAAGCCGTCGGTTAAACATAGTTTTTTATATCTAAAGTGAATTAAATACATTGTAATAGATAAAAAAAAAACTAATATAAATGAGTTAACGGATATTTTAACACAAGTGGTACTAAATTTAAGAATTCAGTTTTGCATAACAAATTCGTTAGTATATTCGGTTTTATGTATCAGGTGATCTTCCACCCGGAGTTCCTGACGTCCACCAACCCCTTGTTCGGTCTGGAGTACGAGGAGTTCGTGCGCGGCTGCCACCTGGGGGTGTTCCCCTCCTACTACGAGCCCTGGGGGTACACCCCCGCGGAGTGCACCGTCATGGGCATACCCAGCGTCACCACCAACTTGTCTGGTCAGATACCACCTTTAAGTTATACGATCTTACTAATATTATAAATACGAAAGTTTGGATAATACCGCTTGTCCGGTGAGATAATATCGCTTGTCTCGTGAGATAATACCCCTTGTCTGGTGAGATAATTTCGCTTGTTTGGTAAGATAATACCGCTTGTCTGGTGAGATAACACCGCTTGTCTGGTGAGATAATACCGCTTGTCTGGTGAGATAATACTGCTTGTCTGGTGAGATAACACCGCTTGTCTGGTGAGATAATACTGCTTGTCTGGTGAGATAATACCGCTTGTCTGGTGAGATAATACTGCTTGTCTGGTGAGATAATACCGCTTGTCTGGTGAGATAATATCGCTTGTCTCGTGAGATAATACCGCTTGTCTGGTGAGATAATACCGCTTGTCTGGTGAGATAATACCGCTTGTCTGGTGAGATAATACCGCTTGTCTGGTGAGATAATACCGCTTGTCCGATGAGATAATATCGCTTGTCTCGTGAGATAATACCGCTTGTCTGGTGAGATAATACCGCTTGTCTGGTGAGATAATACCGCTTGTCGTGTAAGATAATACCGCTTGTCTGGTGAGATAATACCGCTTGTCCGATGAGATAATATCGCTTGTCTCGTGAGATAATACCGCTTGTCTGGTGAGTTCATACCGCTTGTCTGGTGTCGTTTTATTTTCGAATTCAATAATCTAATTTAATAAGTTCAGTGCTTCAACAGTAAACTTAAACTTAGATAATGGAAATAAGGATATCTTTTCTTCACATATAAGAAAAAAAATTGTTACCTATAAGACATTGAATGTGTTAATTTTTCTCAAATTTTAATATTTTAGTAAGTGATAAGGTTTTAACTGTAGATTCACATGTACAATGTCAGTATTGTGCCATGTAATGCCACTAATGGCACCAATGCCACCGTTGTCACCGTTGCCGCTGTGCAGGTTTCGGGTGCTTCATGCAGGAGCACATCGCGGACCCGATGTCGTACGGCATCTACGTGGTGGACCGCCGCTACATCTCGCTGGAAGGCTCCGTGCAGCAGCTCGCGCAGTACATGTACGACTTCACCAAGTAAGTACCACTGCCTTACTGGATTATTGGCTTACTGGTTTGTTGAATCAACTAAAGATGGGTGGTCATCTGTAATTGCGGATGTCTTCGCAGCAACTGCTACCAGTTGTCGCCGTTTTGGCGAATTCATGTGACTATTTGCTCGTTTACTACCTTATGATATAAAATTGGATGGATGGATGTTTGTACCACTAAACTGCTGAACGAACGAACTTGCTTTTGTTTTTTTATTAATTCCACGCGGACAGTCACAGACGAAAGGTTTTTTATTTTGATATTATATGCGAAAATTCAGATGGATGGATGTTCTTAATTTTAATTTTTTAATCCCACCTAGACCATTTTAAAATAAAATAAAATAAAATAATGTTTAATTCTTCTCAACACTACAATTATGAAAAAAAAATTAAACACAAAATAATGAGAAACGTAACTAATGAAATGAAAAAAAAGGAAAAAAGAAATATTTTAAATTAGCGTTGCAATGCTGACCGGATTGGGCCCTCGCTCAGCCATAAATGCTGGATGCTCCTATTGAAGTACCAGCGCTGATCTTCCGCGAGAACCCTAGGGATCATCCACATGATCATCCACATTTTCAATCTAAATGTAATTTTTTATTGCAGACTAACTCGGCGTCAACGTATAATTCAACGGAACCGCACAGAGCGCCTCTCGGACCTCATGGACTGGAGGAACCTCGGCATTGTGAGTTTTATGACTGTAGTCTAAATAACACTTAGAAAGAAATTTTTAGACATACTGGTACACCCACAATTTGTACGAAGTGTCACAATTTATCTCCCGTAATATAGGTATCAAAAAATAATTTGATTTATACCTTAATAAAGGTAATAATCGAAAATCCAATAGATTTCATACATTTTGGTCCTTCGAGTCGGATAGCTTTATTGTAAAAGTAATGAAAAAAGTCTTTATTTGGCATATTTTGACATAAATGCAGTGTCCCTAATAGTAATTATTAATACTGTTTTATATACAAACTAGCTTTCGACCGCGACTCCGTCCATGTGGAATTAGATAAAAACAAAAGTGAGTAACATATGTGTTCTTTCGGACATCTGTACCAAATTTCATCGAAATCCGTTCAACTGTTTTTGCAAACTCTAACAAACATCCATATAAACTTTTGCATTTATAATATTAGTATGATTTCATGTTTTTTATTTCAGTACTACAGACAGGCGCGTGCGCAGGCTTTGAAGATAGTGTACCCTGATTACGTGGACCAGATGGACATCGAGCTGGGCAAGAGGTTCAACTACCCGCGCCCCATCTCCGAGCCCCCCAGCCCCACGCACTCCAGTCAGTATACATACATACATACATACAAAAAACATATAAAAAATTGACATATATTTGACTTGGCACGTCAATTATAAGACTAGTCTTGTATTTCACGTGCCAACTTAATGTCGATTACTTTTAACGAGAAGTGATACAGAATTCACCGTAAACGACTATGGAGTTGACAATCTATATCTATCTCTTTTTGTCTCGTGTATTTGTTATTTCTCATTCTCGATGTGTGCAGGTTAAATTGGTCAGTATACGGTTTTTTTTAGTAATAGTGACTTATTTTTCCATTTTCTTACAAGTGTTTAATTTTTACTCTAATGTCCGTAAGCATTTTGCTTCTTAGCATTATGTAATTTACATTTCTATTGTAAATTAATTCAAATTATTTAAAAAAAAGTATACGGCCCTTAGAAATAATTCGAAAGCGTTTGAACCCCTGCACTTCTGTATCCCTTCTCATTAAAAATACTGAAAATCGTTAAAATGTGAATTTTAAAATGAACCCATTTTATATACATTTTCGTCTCCCAAAAGTAGCTTTTATATACATTCAAAACTAAACAATAAAATTGTAACAGTGCGTTTAACAGCGAATCGACTCACAGCTTCATATACTATAGACATCACGCAGAAGGAAACCAAAGACGAAGAAATACAAACAAGCCGCGAAGAAATACAAAAAAGGAACCCTCTAATGGTACAAAAATCGTTGGAAATTCTAGAAATAACTGATGATGAAGATGATGTGGAAGTCAGCTTCGAGAAGCCGTTCACAGAATCTGAACACGAGAACTATAGAACGCCTAACGAGAACTTTCTAGAGCCATTGAATAAAGCTGTCACGGAACAAATTGATGAATTAATTTCCAAATTAAGCGATTGTGTTGAAAGAAGAGATGAATAGGTTGATTTTTTATATTTACGTGTGGTATAATAATATTCAAACTTTACGGTGGCTCGTAGGTTGGTTTTGGCACATATTTGAGTAAATTATCGCACAACTGTTTCTTTATTTAATAAGCTTATATGGAGGTGACACTACTCGATTTTAGTGCAACCAAACAGTTGAATGCAAAGCAATCGACAATCGCACAACCGTTGTGCGATAGTTTTATAGTTTTGTGGTTTTATAATATTTCCTTAGTATAAATTGTATTTATTAGTATGTATTTTTTAAAAAAAAAAATTTTTTATTTGAATGAAAACAATAATAATATTATACATTTAATTAATTCTAAACACAATGCAATATTTTGCATAAAAAATATATTATCTGAGAAAATATACTCTTTTTGTTAATGCAGTTATGTTAACAAGCTAGAAGGTGGTTCTCTTACCTAGAACATCATTGCCATATGTTACAGTAAAAGTATTCTCCCTTTAAAAAATTAAACGACCATAAAGTTTGAATAGCACTGTACACTGTTTTGTAATTTTGTATTCACAATTTCAAATGGCACTGTTTAACGAAATTGTAGAATTATAGATTTGTTTAAAAAACACGTAAGAAAGCAAGAGTTAATTTTGACTTATCTATTCATGGTGTTGGTTCATATTTTCTTTTTAAAATGCATATTAAAAAAATAACTTTTTTCCCAGGAGCTACTACCCCCGCTGCTTCCGTCCATGGTTCTGATGATGAAGACGAGGTAGACGAGGAAAAGGAACTTGCAGAGTTGAGGATAAGCGATAACTAGGTGAAAATTATCTATACACACATATATAGAGTAAAAAAAAAACGCAAATAACAATATTTATTTGTTTATATACATATTTCGTATATAAACTTCATAAGAGTTTGTTTTGTATATGTAATATTTTAATTTCAATAATAAACATGGGTAAAATATTAATAATACTAAAAGAATCAACAGAATGAGTTACTTTGAACAAAAGTAATAATAATAATTTATTTATTGAGCTAAATAATTAGCTAAATAATAAATACAATAAATATTCAATTAAAATATAAATAAAACATATTTTGTTATCTTAAAATAATTAAAGTTTAATAATTGGCATTACAATGCAATAATTGTATTGTTAGTTCATACAATTTATAATAAATAACGTTTCAATTTTATGAAAAATGCACACGAGAAAATTAAATTAAATTATTAACAAGGAGTTTAAATCAAACTGAAAAAATTTACAATAACAATTGTTAAAAAAAAATTGTTATTTAAATGTAGCTCCAAAATTTTCAATAAGGCAATTATTATATTTTAATGTCGATAAAATAATTTAATAAGATGAATAGAAAACTATCTTGATTTTAAACCTCTAATAACATTTAAGACATTGCCCAGTGGTTGTTAAATTACTTGTGTAAAAGAAATTATTAATAAACAGTTTCTCTCTATTTTGTGATCACAAAACGCTTGCCAATCTATATTTTTATAGAATTATATTTTTCTACAGGGATTTTTAAATCGAATTATTTCAATTATATTTTTTTATTTCATTATATTTTAATAATAATACTTATTAAGTTTCACAATAAATTGTGTTTAAAAAAAGCGATTATAATAATAATGATGATGATATAATGAACTATATAAATAAGCACAAATTGTTACAAAGCGTTAGCGAGAATATTTATTAGTTAATATTTTATTTACTAATACTAAATAAATATTAGTTTAATAATTAGTTAATAATCACATTATTACATTTTAATATTTGTATATCAAGTTTTCGCATGTTTTTTTATTAAATGAGCAAATATTTTATAGCATTAAGAGATTTTCATTCTTGGAATATGATTGGATGATTTTTTGTCTCGTTTCCGCTTAAGCTTCTTTATAGTGCGAAAGAGATAGCTTTTAGTGTTGCACTATAAATTCTTTTAGATTTTTTAGTATCGTCAACTGCCGTATTTAAGACTATCTTTAGAGCGTTTTTACTTGACTAGCGCACATTTGATTGGCAAAAAGCTGCCAATAAAATTTTATTTATGTCGCAATAAGAGCTACATTTGCTTGCAAATGTGCGCTGGTCATATTTTAGTAATAAGTACACTGAATTCTGATCTTCCAGCAGTTCCTATGCAGCTATATTAGTCGTGTGTTTATTACCTCTATCTGTCAATGTCAAACGTCTTTTTGACATTTCCAGTCTATGGTTTGTGAATTAGTGTTGTCAACATTAAAATTTCGGATATATTTTACACATTATGGAATATAAATTGATTATATTTTCAGAGCATTATTTATGCAAAAGATATTGTATTTTTGTAAAAATACATATGTGAATCTATATTTTACTGGTTATATTCCTGTTCCCCGTGCCATAACTACTGGAATTGTTATTTAATATTTTATCAATAAACGTGTTTAATTTATAAATATGCGTTTCATTCAAGTTCATTTTTATCCCGATCTTCATACTAGTCATCATTTTATTAAAATTATCCAGAATGTTGCCATTTAAAAATAAACTTAAGTCCATGGCTAATAGCAAAAGCCTTCTGTAGTGTCGAAGAATTTTTCCCACCATGATTGTTGTATGTACACAATTTTTATTCAGAATATCTGTAAAGATTTTTTTTTTAACATAATGACTTGTAATTCACTTAACAATAAAAAAATAAGAACATTGACACAACCACACAGAAGTTAGAATAAAGCATTTGACAGGAAATGTAAGCCATTAGCTCTCCGTCTCTCTGTCGCATAAAGGTAAAAAATGCATCTGCAATTGCGGATGTCTATGCCTAGCGGTTGCTTTGTTATTTCGGCGAATTTAGGTGACTGCTTGCTCTTATGATGTAAAAAACAGAAGTAAATAGAAATCATTTATTATAAAAATGAAAATTGTATAAAATCAAAGTATTTGTGTTACATTCACAATAGGTGCTGGAAACTCCGTCTTCTGTACGATTTTAGAAGGAGTCACGATGACGTCACGGGCTAAACTGTCTATGAAGAATTTGTTACCTTCACGATTAGCACCACTGGGGTTAGTAGTAGGATGGTTATGTTTATTATTGGATGTATTTGAATTATACTTTCTACCATCGATTCCATATTTATGTAAATTATTAGCATGTATGTGTCCGTGATATACTATCTTTGCCATCGGTAATGGCGGTTTATTTGGTGGTAAATATGGATGTTGGTAAGCGTAGACGAAAGGTATAGCGTAATGAGACTCGTTCTTCTGAAGGTGATCGTTGAAGAACGAATCGTGTAAATGGTGGAGGCCCCAGTCTTTTAGATCATGGGATCTTAAATGGTTCTCTTCAGTGATATGTTCCAATGGATTGCGCGTTGTCTGTGCAGGTTGGTCAAATTTATTTGAAAGTTTCTTCAAAAAGCACTGGAGAATGTCTGTATTTTTATTTAATTGTGATAGTATTTCATTTGTCAAATGCTCTTTGTCTTTCACAGGTTCTATTTTGTTTTCCTGTTCTTTGGGTACTTCTAATTTGATTCTTATATCGTGGTTTGTTATAGGTAATATAATATTTGATTCTGTAGTCGGTTCTACGGTTACTGGGTTATGAACGTGTAAGTGACTCATATCGTGCAAGAATTCCAGATCATCGTTAGGTTTATTTGATTCTAAATGCATGAAATCTTTGAATAGATCGTGTATGTTCCTTTCTTTAATGCCATCTCTTTCTCGCAGTATACTTTCGAGTCCTTCTTTTTCTTTATTCAAATGTAGCAGTTGCTGTTCTATTTTCTCTTTCTGAAGTGCCAGTAGTAATTTCATGTTTTTCTCTTGTTCTTGCATTTTTACATCCTCTGTCGGTTTGCTATCATTAGGATTATCTTCAATATGTGCGTTTTCTTTTGTTTTATTGATTTTCTCTATTTTAGATATTTCAGATACATTGACAAGTGAATAATATTGAACGCCGTTGTTGTTGTAGGTTTTATTTATAACTGTGTGCATTTCTTTGAAGCCGGAAGGTGCGTTTGTTAAATTTTTAGGTAGAATTTTGACAGTGACTTTGTAGTTATTTTTCGATGGCATTATAGCGTTCACAATGTCCGGTATTCGTCCGTCCTTTTCTGGCGAGCCGTTGTCTCCTGCGCGCATTCCTAGCAAGTTTTCCAGCTTCAGTTGCTGTTTATTACCTCGTTTAAATAAAAACTCGTCATTCGAAAATTGTTCTTCTTTAGATTCTCGCGCTGTGCCCGGAAATATGTGAGGATATTTTGACATTAAACCGTTTTGGCCGTATTTAGTGTCAAATATGTTTGTTATATAGTTTGGTTCCTTGTTAGGGCTGCTGGAATAGGGTTCGTCAAACACAAATGGCACTGTATCATCGCTGTGCTGCTCCCCGCCCGCGTCATCACCAGTATCACTCTCTGGAAGTTCTATCTCTCTCAACGATGCTCGATTAGTAAAGAAATTTTCTCCCGAAAGCACGTATACATTTTCTTCAGATTGTCTTGACGGGCCTTGTGACTGGTCTGATGCGAATATCCTTATTTTATCGACGTTTCGTTTGTTTCTTTTATTTTTTAAAAATAACGCTTTTGACTCCATTTTTTTCGTATTTATATACCTGGCGAGTTTAATTCTGGACTTCAAGTTTGTGATTTTTTGAACGTTTACAGACCTTCTGTTTCTTTTTTTCCCGCCCTGGTATAACAGACTTGCTAAGCTAAAAATTCCAGATTGTCTCATTTTCTTATCAAAAATTTCTTCATTTAATTCAATAGGAAGTGCTTTGATTTTGATGTCTTTTGTAAATATTTTGATATTTTTTGGATTGTAGTCGTAGTTTCTAATTTTATATTCATAGTCTGAGGGCATGGTTCGATGGCTCGGACGATTTGAGATATCTTCATACTTAGCGTAGGGCAACATTTTCTTATCGAAAATAATATTATAAGCGTCGGAGCGGTAGTCATTCTCCACTTCTTGCACCGACCGACGATACAAGATGTGCTGATTTTTGTCTTTGTTAATTTCTCTCTTCATGAGTTCGTGTGGTTTTTCGGCTGAATCTTCGATTTCGTTAACGTTATTGTTTTCATTATTATTTTGATCGTAGTCCTCATGGTATGTTTTGATCAAGTTTTCTAATCCAGAAAACAATTTCATACTGTCAACATCTGGAGGCTCATCTACGTATTGGTTAAAGCCAACAGAGAATCCACTTCCATCGATATCTTTGATAAATAGTGTTACATTACCAGCATCCGCGTAGGAATTTTTCAGTTTGCCAGGCATATCTGGGTGCCGGAGGTTTAATGGTACTTGTATCCTTTGCGGAATACCGCTGCTTAAAATGTTATTAAATTCCGAATTTCCTGGTTCTGCTGAATTATCTATATTTGGTACGGGAAATGAGTTTGGATTGTTATACGGCTCCTCCAAATCGTCGACAGATTTGACCTCTGCATCTTGTGGAATATCTCTAACTTCTATTTTGTTGATGGGGTTCTGTTGTCTATGCTCCACTGAGTTCATCTTCATTATATTCTTTGGTTTATGTTTGAGTGGATTTTGGATTCGCTTTTTGATTTGTAAATGTTCGGGTGACTTTTTTCTATCGTTTCTGCTTGATTCATCTGATCGTATGGCTTTCTGAATTCTATCTATTAGACTTTTTACTAGTTTTTTCTTCCTTTCCCCCTTAGCGCCGGAGCCATCGAAATGTGTTTCTATTTCAACATATAGTTCGTCGTCAGCTTTCTTAGTAGTTTTACGGACTGGTTTTATTTTTGGTGTGGTAGCGTCGTCGTCCTCGTATCTAACTTTGACTTGTCTTTTCGTTCGTTCATTGTTCCTTTTATCCAAAGTGATAAATGCAAATTGATTTTTATTGTATGTTGAATATTTTCTCAGATATTCCAATGCTTTATTTAAATAATAATACTGATCATGTTTAGGAATAATTTCGAATACTCTGTGCCTTTCCTTATTTTTCCAATTCCTTGAATGTGGTCCCAGTATTTTTAATTTTAATACTGTTTTATGTTCGTCGTTACTAAAATTTTCCTTTTCTATATTTTGCAGATGTAAATGTTTGTACCTAATTCTACGTGGACCTTTCACATTTTCTTGAGAATAACTAAAAGAAAAGATAATATAGTTAGATTTTTATATGTTCATAATATCTTGAACACATCTCTTCGTACATACCTGATTTCGTTCTTCATTTCGTCATTCAAAGGTTTTATTTCAATGATTGTTTTCATCACGACTTCTGAATCTATTAACAGTTGAATGAAATGTTATTTTTTTAACAAATCTTTTAATCTTGCTAAATAAAAGAATTAAAATCATAGATAAGTTTTACCTTTTGCTTGTGCTGTGTATTCCCTTTTGTTTAAATTCTTTAATAGTTTACTGATAGTTGTAGGTATGGTAGCGTCTACTTTTATATTTTCTTCAGGTATTCTATGAATAGCTAGATGTATATTTCTTTCGGGTGTTTCTTTTCTTTTCTCCTTATTATAGTTAGAGACGTATTCTTCTAAAGGTGATTTAAGTTCAAAGTCAACAATTTCTTCTTCCCTATTAAATTCTGCTGAATATATTTCGTCTTTGGTATTAACATTTTCTAGTAGTTTCGTCAATTGAGCGGCGAGTAGGTTAATTTTATTTTTATGATAATTGGATACTATATTTCGAGAATCTGTTGAAATTTTTATTGATGAACATAGATTTTTAAATGTTATTTTACTTTTATGGATGTTTGAATCTACTTTCTTATATGTGGCCTAAATGGAATGATAGAGTCGAGCGTCTTCTAGTTTTTATTACGTTTCCTTTACCTTTTTACGCCTACTTTTCTTAACAGAAAGTACAACCTTTTCGTAGCTTTTGACTCATGTTTTTTAGTCATTTTTCTATCTTTTAAATACATTAAAATGATTCTTTTAGTAAGAAGCATGTTTTAAATTCTAGTTTTTTATTTATATTTTTGGTTATTTAACGATTATCTTACCTATCGATCTTTTTGTTCTGTACGAAGGTTCTGACTGGTCGTCTATATAGTTTTTGTCAAATAGATTATCAGTAGTACCATCTTCTGGCGTGTTGGTGACTTCGTTACTTTTTACATTGTCTTTATATTCAACATTGTCTGTAGTTTCATGATTCTGTTTGCCTGGAACGTAAATTGTATTAAAAGTAACAATAGTGAGTAATAAAATCGAATCAGGCGTTAAATTTGCTAAAATAGTGAAGCAGTCACTGACATTTCTAGAAAAAAATGTTCGCTTGATATGTTTTTTGCTCTCGAATGCAGGTTACCTTTCTTAGCCAGCAATCCGTCGATGTCGATGAACACATTGGTAAGGATGACGGTGAACGTGAAAGCGGTGGCGAGTAATGTCACGCAGAACACCCTGTAGAACACGCCGTCGTAGTCGCATCGTGACATATAGGAAGTTCTATTTTACCTTCTCGCGTTCTATACCTATTAGCTGTACACAATATTGGAAAAAGATTTTTTACTTATTTGTACTAAAAGTGCTTAGGCAAGAAAGGGGTTCAGTCAACTTTTCTAATTTCTTTATTTGTCGGTGTTAGAATTAATCACGTAAGATTTTTTTGAGCAGTTTGTTAAATCATTCACATATTTTTAGCGTATTTACTAATGGAATAATAGTAATAGGTAAATTTAATTGAAAAATGGTCTGTTTCTGTGTGTTATTTAGTTTATTTAACTAAAATTAAAACTCACCGTTTACTAGACGAATGTTAAAAAAATCTTCAGCCTTATTTCGTATACTTTAAGACTCTACTAAGACTCGGCTTTGACTAAATTCCGTTCGCAACTTTGGTTGCATTCAATGCAATTGTTTTGTAAACATCCAGCCAATTAAGTGCTCCATACTTTTGCTTTTATCACAGATTAAAAATGATAAAAAAATCTTCAATGAATGGATTTTGTTTGAATGGGTGTTAGATCACGCTTTTAAATGTAACTTGATAAGAACGGGTTTAGGACAAATTTATAAGATTCTTGTCCAAATCTATATGTAGTGCTTTGAAATGCTCATGGGGTTTGCCAGAAGGGATAGGGGTTTCCTAGACATAAAATGTAAAATAGATATACAATATTTGGGGAAAAAACTAGCCAGTTTTTCAGTGATCAAACTGCATGTTGATAAGTATTGTCTTTGGAATGAAAAATACTTTTCTAATAGCCCCCCCACTTGATCGTCAGCTGACCCACCCTAGATTAACGCCTGGCGATGCCCATACGGTCACGTCGCTGTCGTTTTGGCGTTACTAGCCTATGTACTTAGTCTGGAGGACGGCAGCTATTATTATGGTTATATTTGTGCTGTTAATTTACCTCACAAATTTCTTTAAAACCTACTTTAAGTTTTCAATTATTGTGTGAATCTATATTAACTTCAATCAACCTAATCCTTGATTTAAACTAGTTACTTTATTTTTTATTTGTAAATAGGCATTTGTCTATATAAATGTTTCTGATGTTTGGGTCGCGAGCTCCTAGCTCTTATATCCAAGCCAACATATGTCTATTTATCTATCTTATCTGTATTGTTTCTCTCGGTTAAACCTGCTGATTTATCTCAGTTGTTGCAGGTTGCAGCCAACTTGCACGTTATCTTTATTTAAAGGTTTTAAAAGTAAATGATTTCAAATTATAGATTATTCAGATAAATAAACCGATTTACAGTATCGAAAAATACCTTCAGGAAAAAGGATGAAATAACAATCAGGTTTTAAACAACATTAGGTTTATTGATACAAAACAGACGTAACAATTTCATATTTTAACGATTGTTCACATAAATTAAGCATTACAGATAATCTTATCTAGCCTTGTTTCATTTTTCTTATGATGTCTTCGTTGATTCTGGAAAATAGAATATCGTTTTTATATAAACACTTAACAAGCCACAAGAATGCGATATATGGAGTTTCCATAAAGCAGATCTAATAAATGGTAAGCTAAGGGACATATTTAGGTTATTTAGGGCCTGTCCCACCACTGGCTGATAGAGGCTCAGATTAAAAATGACGTCACAGTCAGTTAAAGTAACAAAATCCAATATTTCCATCTCATATTTTACACGTTGGATTGTTATCAGACAATTTACAATTTGGTGGGAACCCTAAGTATAGCAGTTAGACCGTAATCCACTAGCACAATACGGGCTGATCCACCGCTACTGCTTCAGCATATGATAAACCATTTCCATCCATTACATTGTAACGTAATGCTTTGAGAATACTTATTCTAAAGTCATTGTTACCTTCGAACATAGGCTCGTCTTTTCTGCTGCAAGTCGAGCGCCACGGGGTCAATGTCGACCCTCGAATCGCTGTCCATGTCCGGCAAGAGGTCCGAAATACCCTCACTGTCCGGACCTTCTTTAAAATAACGAACGTTTAATCATATTAGCAGAAGAAAATAATTTGTACGTGAATGTAGAAGTTAAAATAGAAAGGAGATGAATAAAGAGATTTTAAATCTATACTAATATTGTAAAGATTTGTATATTTTTACATATTGAAATATCTCAAAAACTACTGGGCAGATTTTAATAATCTTTCACCATTAAAAAGCTACTTTATTAGTGAATACCATAAGCTGCATTATTCACTATTTTTAAATTTCATGCGTACAACGTCGCGAGCAACAACTAGTCAAAAGTTAAAAAACAAGAAATAATAGAATGTCAACAAATAAGCTTACTTAAAGGTCTTAAAACTATCAAACTTAAAGACAATTTGGCTGTTTGTGTCCCAAAAGTATGTCATCGTTTTTATGGCATATTACATGGTGATAACATTAACACAAACCTCTTTAGTACTCACCAAATTGACTAGCGTGTACACTGCCATCATAGTACACCGTACCTTCCGTATCTCGATTGAATTCTAAAACAAAAGAACGTACATAAGTACAGTATAGTATATAAGTACATAAGTATAGTATAGTACTAAGAATAAGGATATAGTAAAATGAATTAAATATAAAATTATTACCGAATTGTTTGAGGTTCGTCTCTAGTTGGTCGTTATCTGTAACAATAAATTGTTGAAAATTCCACAACATTATCTACTAGCTTTCGCGCACGACTTCGTCTGCGTGAAATTAAAAAAAAAAGAAAAATGAATAGCCCATGTGTTCATCCAGGCTATCCTCTACATCTATACCAAATTTAATTGAAATCCCTTCAGCCGTTTAGGCTCAAACTCTAACAAACATCCATCTAAACTTTCGCATTTATGATATCAGTATGATAAAAAAAAACTGCTTTGAAATCCGTTGCATAGTTGTAAAGATCTAAGCATTAGGACAGACAGACTGCGTGAAGCAACTTTATTTTATACTTTATGTAATGTATTATGTAGTGATGGCTTTGCACATTCTTCTGAATAGAAAAAAATAAAAAATGGTAATTCAGTTATATTATAAATAACCTGGGAAGAATAAGGCAGAATCTGTTGGTTCCTGAGCGACTGTAGTACTGGACTCACTGGTAGGGGCTTCCGTCGTGGTCGTAGATGTTGACGTAAACGTTGTTTCTGCTAAAATAATAAACAAATTACATAAATAAGATTGTTTTTTTCTGAGTCAATAAGGTAGATCCTTATTAATAAATTCTCAAAGTAGACTACGGTAGCTGGTCCCATTTACTCTTCGGCAGTTTTTCATTAAAATGCTGCGCAGAATTTAGCCAAGCACTAATAGCTTTTTTGAAATTAAACTGTATAATACAAGTAATAATATTTAACCTCCAAATAACGTAGTCATTATAACAGCCTCTGAATTCTTTGGTATATTCCTCGTGGGCGTAGCTTTACTTGTAGCGTCCATGTGTTCTGCCGTAACTACAGCCTGAGTTGCTTTCATTTCTGGAAATAAATGCTTTATGTTAAATTAACTTTGGCAAGAAGTAAAGGGACTTTACTGATTTGTAACAATAAAATTAGAAATCTTACCAATTGCTCGCAGTCTTCTTAACGCTTTTTCTATACACCAATGTAACATTTGATCATTATCGTTTTGACCAATTTCATTACAGAAACTAGAGGCCATCGTCATAAAAGGATCTTTCGTAGCTACGTTTTTAATCTTCTTCGGGAACCGTCTGTCTTTGTAACTGATATTTGTTTTATTCAAATTAGTCAATTGGACATCTTCTTTCTTCAAAACAACGTTAAAATCGTTACCGATATGTTTTCTTTTACCAGTTTTTTTGGAGTATTTAATCCAACGTTTACCGCGATTTAAATTGGGAGATTTGCTAACTTGATTGTAAGGTTTGATTTCGTTTACAGGTATTAGGTTAGTGCTTTTAGGTACAAATCTGGGGCGTTCGTTTCTCTTGTTTTTCGCATTTCGTGTGAATGAATTCCCTGGACTGGGTACGAAACTTGAAAGGATTTTGTTCTTCATTAATACATCGATATACGTGTTGTTGAAGTAGTATTTGTAAATTAAATCGTCTACAGGATGATCGTCCTTTTCTTTTAATAGTTGGTTATCGTAATTTACAATGCGGCTGACCGATGGAACTGAAAATAAGTTGATTTTGACTGATTCAGTATTAGGTGCTTGCGTACTTGTAGTGGTTACAATAGGTTTGTCTATTTCAGTATTTTTAACTTCGCTGTTATCTTTATTAGGCTTCGTTAACATGGCGCTTAATTTTTGTGGTATAGTATTTTTAGTGTCGATGTAAATTTGTTTTGCTTTTTTCAATATTCGAGCGAAATTGTTCTGCCTCAGTGATATTTCGTTTTGGGTTTTCGCTATTAAGTTTTGCTTTAAATTTATCTTTTCGTTTTGAGCCAGCATTAGCTTTTGAATGTTATAAAATTGTTGTTGTTGGATCAAGAATTTCTTCTGTTGATTTTCAAATTCCGCTAAGTTCTTCATTAATTCGCTTTCTTTGTTATTATAGAAATCTTCTTTGCTACGTAACCTTGCTTCTAAATCTTTTAGATTTTCATTAAATTTCATTAAATACAAATATTTAACATCGAAATCTTGAAACTTTGTCATTAAAAGTTGGGCGTTTTTCATAAATTCGTCATTAATAGATGTAAGTTTTGTATGTATTCTTTTGATATCGTTGTGTTGTTTCATTACTTTCTTAAATGTTTTAGTCAGCATCGATAATACTTTGACTAAGCCTTTTTCAGTCATCGGTTTATTTTTCACTGGCTTAGTTTCTTCAGTTTTTGGTAAAATCTTATAAGCATTGACGTCGGGTAATGGTGCTGTTTGATGCCACGCTCTATCATCACCTTCGAATACGTTACGATCCATTTTATTTGATTCAAAGCTGTCCTCCGTTTTATTCATTTCTTCACTGAATTCAATTTTCTTTATAATTTCTGATTCATAGTCATGTTGCATGCTGCGTTTCGGAATCACAATTGTCGTGTTTTGGTAAGTGCTCGTATCGTTTTGATTTTTCGTAATTTGAGATTCAGTTTTAACCAAATTGTCTATACTGAGCGCTAGATCTGGAATTATTTTGGAAAAATTATATTCTCTAGTATCGTAAATATCCTTAGAAGACGATCCTTGGGACTTTATCAGTTCTCTTTTATTATTTGTTAGCATTATAGCGACGTCGTATGGAAAATCTTTAAATACTTTACCGGGTTTGAATTTCGATGTTATTTTTGATTTCGTAAATGTTGCTTTGTCGCTTTTTGTATTGTTTGAGTTTTTTCCTATCTGTCCATCTACAACAAAAATTGATAATAACAAATTATCTGGAATACACATATTAAATTGAATTTGAAAGGCAAAAGTAAAAACAAAGGGCAATGAGAGATGTTTCTAGTTTACATTTTACGTTATTATAATTTAGAAAAGTAAAAAATTTATTGTAAATAGTAGTTTATGAGTATAGAGGAAATGATATGTAGGTATGTACTACACTTACAATAAATACTTTTGAGGAAAGTCGTGTGACCCAATGGGTATGTTAAAAGTTTATATATAACAAGAGTTTTACCCTTTGCTGATCTTTTTGTCCTTTCAATATAGTTGGGTACCATCACAGAGTCAGGCATAAAATTCTCTCCGAAAGGATCAAAGTTGTTACGTAGTAAACTATCGGCGTCAAGGGAGCTCTCCCTGAATATGAAGTCACCTATTCCCCCTTTAGAGGGGTGATCCTCCCCAGCCTTTCTTATCCACACACCTTTGTTTACGATTTTATTCTTTTCCAGTTTGGGCTTCATGAATGATTCGTTTTCCAGATACGCCGCTGTGATGAAGCCGATTGAACAGAATATCGATAACAATGTGATTGTTGACATCACTATAGTTCATATCGCGCGGGTACCGTGCTGAATGGCTGCTCGCGGGCTTGTGAGGAATTCCCTCTGTATGTCAAGTGATATCCGAAACGAAACACCGTTTTTTGTCTGTTTGTAAATAATGGTTGCGTGTTGTGCTTCGATGTTATCGATACATCGATATTTCAAATATCGTTACATTTCACTTATCTATCTCTCTCTAATCTAAGATTTTTTTTTTGACGCAATGATAAGTTTTTAATTATTTTTGTAAGCTTCATCTGTAAGCAATCTTCAATTGTGTTTGGGATAAAAATTAAAATGATCTACGCCATAGTAATAAACAGATTATTTTAAGTACTTTTTATCTTATATCTATAAGTATTTTAAGAATAAAAAGTATATTAATATGATTTTGGGAATTGAAATTCGTGAATAGACATAGTATTTTTAAAGTGCTGTCATGTGAAAAAAATTTACAAAACCCATTAGTAATTTTCAAGTTATCGATATAGCCCATCACTAGTTGTGTTTACGTCGTACTCACTCGTACTCTTTATTTGTTTTTGTTTGTTTTGGGATGAATTTTATTTTTTCCTCGGCTCGTGAATTTTTCGGCGTTCTTTTGGTGCGATACGCGTGTTTATAAACAAACGGTATGTTTCCACTGGCGTATACCTTTTTACTACTTTATATTGAATATTATGTTAATCTTATTGGTTACGAGAATTAATAAGTTTTTACTAGACGACTTTATTTGCTATCAAGCTTTATTGCAGACTAGGTGTTGCTCTCAACTTCGTCCGACTCAAATTAAAAAACAATAAAAAATATAGCCTATGTTACTCACTGATAATGAAGCTTTTTAATAATGAATTTTCGGAATTCGACCTAGTATTTTTTAGGTTATTTAAATACATATAAAATAACAGAAATACAAATCTTTCCTCTTTATAATATCAGTATAGACAACATTATTTTCAGAGAGGTTTTTTAGTCTTAAATAGGATTGAGGTATTGACGCAGAAAGAACTTAAATGATTTTGTATTGATTATTAAATATTTTAGAAGGTTAAAGTAATAAAGAGTACTTTGCAAGAATTATTTTATTATTTCATTACATTATTTAAACAAATAATACATGAAAATAAAACTATGAACACATCAAATTGCAGATATTTAGTTTCAACTGAGGTCCGCAACCGCGCGTTTGGCTTTTCTGTAAATAAATAGGTAACTAATACAATAATTTTTCAATGTGCATAATAAAAAGAATAAACTAGTTACATACAAAAAAACTACTAAATGCATAGTAAGGATGTACTTATTAACTTTGGTGTATTTTTTAAGGCGTGCACATCTTTGACTAAACTATCGCAGAACTGTTTAGTCTCGCTTTGATTAATATGAGCTTATATGGAGGTGACACTACTCGTTAGTTGTGTAACTAAACAGTTGAATTGGCAGCGAAACAATCGACAATCGCACAACTGTTGTGCGATAGTTTATTTTTTGCTTTTGACAGTGGTAGAACCCGCTTTAACATCTTCGCAGGAATGGGACGGCTCGCCCCCAGGCGTCGAGTGGAAGCAATTCCATGTTTCGTCTGATGAGTGTGGTGCCGGAGGCATAATTTTAGCCCTTTCTCTTTCCACCCTTTCTTAAGAGGAAAGGATGGGAAGGAAAAGTGGATTTGACGGAGGAGGAGACGCATGTATTCTTTATGTGCATCTCCTCCGTCAATGAAGGGTAGGCAACGCATCTGCAATTGCGGATGTTTATGGGCAGCAGTCGATTTCCAATTCGGTAGATTAAGGTGACCGCTTGCTCGTTTGCCAACTTATATATTACAAAAAAAAACTAAGTTGCAAGCAAATGTGCCAGCTCCTGGCTTAATGCTTATTAAGTGTCCGTTACCTGTTAAAGCAGGGCATGTCCCAGAACTTCTGTCCCCTGCCGTACTCTTCTCCATCGTGCAGGGTTTGCGGCATATCCCTGCCCGTGGACTCAGGGAGACACATGCACAGACATCCCCCGGCTATTGCTATTGTACCCAGGATTAGCAACGGGATCTCAGTCGCGATTGTCGCCTGGCGACAGACATAGGAGAATTTAAAATATTTAAAGATTTAAAAAAAATATTTATAAAGTTACAAAATTTGTTTTAACTAATACTATGCGCGCTTATGTGTTGTGTGTCTGTGAATGTGTACAAAAATAATTTACGATTGTAACTAAAATAGAACCAACACAAAGGTCATCTTACTAATATTATAAATGCGAAAGTTTAGATGGATGGATGATTGTTTGTAGTCTAAACAGCTGAACGAATCTTGATGAAATTTGGCATAGATGTAGAGGATAGTCTTTAAGAACACATACTTTCGTTTCTTTATTATTCCACGCGGACAGACTCATGGGCGAAAATTAGTATCTTAATCTATATCTATACTAGTATTATTCAGATGAAAGACTTGTATTATTGTATGTATTGAAATAACTCAAAAAATAATGGGGCGATTTCAAAAATTCTTTACATTAAATAACTAATACATTATAAATAAGTACATAGGCTATACTTTGTTATTATTTTCAATTTTACACTGACGAAGTCGCGAGAAACAGCTAATGTTGTTATAAATTCGAGCTAGTAGTACATTATTCAATAGCAGACGTATATTCTTACCATATAGACAATATAAGGCACAAGTATGGTGGCGACGTAACCCGTCATGTGTATGAGAGCGAGGCCCTGCGCGCGCACCACCGTCGGCAGCAGTTCAGCGGCGTACTGCATGCCGATGTTGAACGAAATGTTCACTGAAAACCGACCTACGATCGCCAACGACGCTGAAGGTATACCTGACAACAAGGGTTAACTAATGTAACCATTGAGAGTTGATGCTTTGTGACCTCTGTCACAGTTACAGCAACTTCATCACCATACTATCCTCACCATATCAATGGCAAGCATTCCACAACTGTGCTGTTTTCGCCGAACTTTCTGCTCCGTACGCGTTGTGGAACAGTCTGTCCTCGGCGGTATTTCCAAACCAATACGACTTAGGGTCCTTCAAGAAGCGAGCCTATTTCCTCAAAGGCCGGCAACGCATCTGTAGTTCCTCTGGTGTTGTGGAAGTCCATGGGCGTCGTTGACCACTTCCGTATTCTCGGTGCCCGTTTGCCCCATCTTTTATAAAAAAAACAAACTCACCTAATGGTACAGTGGTTGCCAGTAAGCTGAAGATTCCACTAATCACCATGGAACCAAACGCAAGCCAGCGACGTCCCACTCTGTGAACATACATTGCTTACATTAACAACAAAATAAAGAATATGCTATACATTCTTCCATCAGATAATCTGTAACTTTTAATTTGGGACTGAACAAGATACTACTAACATATCCAGTGTGAGTATAAGCAGGACGTCAGCGGGGAACTCAGTGGCAGTAGCGACAGTGAAGGTAAGGAAGATGTCGAGGCCGAGAGAGCCGACGTTCCTCACGTGGCCGTCGAACGCCATCGCGATAGACATCCAGATAAACAGCAGCAGTAGACTGTGACGTCGAAGCCGAGGAGTACGGAACAAGTCCAGTACTGAGTAGTTCTTCACCTCTTGCTCGGATCTTGCTATTTCTGTCGCTGTCTCCTGCAAATGGTGAGTTAAATTAATTAACACGTTCACTGCAGCAAGTAAAATCACAATTCTTCATCTGGTGTGACGGCGGGCCAAATTGCGCCCCCAATTATATTTTCCGCCAGTCCGTGACAGGTCTTTCTAGACGCACTAATAGTAGGATAGATTAAATTGCTATAACTTTGTGGAATCATAATGTATACATTTAATATAATGTAATTAATACACCTGAGATAAACATTTTTCATTATTGAGAGGGATATAGTTGTCTTCGTCCTCACCAACTTAAGTACCGCGTCAGGCCGATATCGGCCTGTTATGCAGTGAGTGTGTTGATGACTATGTAAATTGTTAGCAAAATCGTAACTCATTAAGGATGTACCTTAAATTCCTTTAATATTCCATCCGGTATTTTCCTTCCATTGACTCTCTCGCATTTCTTGAGAATCTTGATTGCTTCATCGAAACGACCCTGTGATATCAACCACCTGAAATACAAAGAAATATCATAAGCAATGGTTTCAGCGTTTCCTAATACTAATAACCTTGTTGTGGAACTCTTGGTTTACCTGGCACTCTCCGGTACCACACAGGGCGTGAAGATGGAAAGAACAAGTGGTACGCTGGTGATGAGCGTGTAAATCTTCCAGTCAGCTACAGCGAGTGCGATCCAGGGAAGCAGGCAAGCCGCGAACGTGAAGTACACCGCGATTGACATGTTCGCGACGAACGTTCGCCACTTCGGGCCCACGTATTCAACCACTACGGTAAAGAAGATGAGGTAAAAAAGATAGTCTATGAAAAGTAATCTACAAAATATGAATTTAGAGAATACAATACAAATAAACAAAAAACTGTATAACAGTGAACCTACTCAAAAAGCTTACCAACAATATACATGATGACGAAGCAATTGTCGTAGGCAAGGCCGACTAGGAACCGGCACAAGCAGAACGACCAGAAGCTATTGGAGAACGCTGTGCCAACGCCCGCGAAGAAACCCGTCATATTAGTACCTGAAACAATTATTAATCAAAGTGTCTAAATTGTGGAATCTAAATCAAACGAAAGTCATTTTCAGTTGAAGTTATATTTTCCATTTAAACACAATTAAGCTCACCCACTAATGCTGGTATTCTCCCGTATTTATCTGCAATCCATCCGAACAGTAAACCTCCGACGATGGCTCCGCAGAAAAAGATCGACTGTGCAGTCGCCGGATAGTTGTCTCTGTCGCACACCCATCCTAGCTGTGGATCAGAAAGAAAAAAAAATATAATTAATGTTCCATCCACTTCATTGTTTCTTAGAAACTCTTTTTTTAAATCAGTAGCTATTGCAGTGTCAAGTAGGCTTGTGGTATAACTTTTGTTTTCGCTACTTTTGTTAGGTTATCATATGTGCCAAGCTTGGAAAGAAAATTAATGATCAGAATTATGCCCTTTGTATGTATGTATCCTTGCATACTACTAAACATGAATTGATAAGATACGAAATGAGTATATTAGAGGAAGTTTGAGAGTAGCCCCCGTAGTAGAGAAGGCAAAGGTTAGCATGGTATGGGTATGTTATGAGGAGGGATGAATCGCATGTTACAAGAACGTTAGTTATGAGTGTGGAAGGGTACATCGGTAGAGGTAGACCTAGAAAGAGATGGATGGATTGTGTAAAAGGTGACATGATCAAAAAGGGAGTGATGACTGAGATGACGTATGATAGAGTTATGTGGAGGACAAAAACCTGTTGCGCCGGCCCTACGGGAGTAGGATAAGGAGATGATGATGATGATGATGACTACTCGGTGTTTTTGCTTACCTGCGTAGCAATTGTTTCGTAAGGAACATCAGTGAAGTTAAATTCCCATTGGTCTTGGCACTTCTTTACCGGCCAGCTCCTGTCAGGTTCTGTCACTCCGCTTTCCAGAATCTTCTCCCAGTCTACATCGTACATGCGACATCTGTCGTATTTGTTATCTTCTAGAAGAGGTATTGATAGGTGTCGCCTGAAAGGTTATTGAAATATCAAGACAAATAAAGTTTAATAAATATTTGAAATGTTAATATCTTTTCGTCATTTATAAAAGAAGATCTTTAATCGCTTTGTAATTATGATTATTGTTACGTTCTTACCGTTCTTCTACTGTCAGATTTCCGAGAGCAGGCACTCTGCACCAATGCTGCTCAGGGACTATCGTCATGAATATCTGGGCGAAGTAGACGAAGGCGAAAAAGAAGCCGAAAGGTATCATAAGAAGAAAGAGGATCCTCTGGTACCAGCCGAAGTCACCGATGTACGGGAAAAGGTCGTCCAAGTCCTTCAGTCTTCGCGGACTGGTTTTTGCTGATGAAACTATGCATATAAGAATTAATTTAGTTGATTGTTGCTCTAAGGTTGTACAATCGCGGTAATCTGCGGTATTCCACTTTAGTAGAAAATGCATTGTTTATTGCAACGAAACAAACTTCACTTCATTCTACAAATTAGTAATTAAATATCAGTGAGTGAAAACGAAAGGATAATAATAAATAGAAACACATTTGTAAGCTGCGTGGTATTGATTTTTGTTCCGTGTCTCGTTTCAAAATGTTCAAACGATTGTAGCTTTTAAGGTGGAACACTGTCAGTTTCCCCGATTGTACTACAAACCTACAATAGTTTGTTTTTAAAAAGTATACTTTAAAGAGAAATGTTAGTGGATATAGGCTTACCTTCACTCATTTCAAAGGCCGCGTTATCAATGGCAGCCCTGAAATTATTCTCTTTCTCATGTGATTCCATTTTGGAATAGAGTTTTTCCCTTAAAAGACACTTTCCTCGACGTTTTTCTGGTTACGGGAACACTAAGCTGGACTCGCTTTACTGTAAGAAACAAATTATATTCAACATCACTTTAACTAAATTTGTGTACACCAAAGCAAGAGATTCCTATACTTTTTTTTTCCTTTCATAGTTTTATTGGGTTCTGAGAACTCACTGCTGTTTCCCTCTGTTTCTTGCTAAAACTTAACCTAACTTGCCACTAGCACACTTTCCGTGGTCATCCATGGCCCTAGTCGATCGCCTAGACCTTTGAGTATCACCTATCTAGGCAAAGTTTTTAACACGTTGCCGACTTACCTAGTGCACTTTGTTACGTAAAACTTGTTACGGCAGTGAATGTGTTAAACCATTCTATATTTTATTCAAATATTCAAGTAGTTAAAAAAATGTTCTAAATAAGCTAATGATAGGAATACAATCCTATTTATGGTACATTACGTATTGTCTGTCAGTAATAATCAGTTTGTCTCATAGAACAATTATTAGCATCGAAAACTATGATGTCAGATCACACGTGTTTAAACTGTGAACTAGACACGTCTCAACGAACTGATTGCTGATTTGTAATGATATAAATGAAGTTACTAACGGTTTGCAAAAATTGCCGTGTCTAATAGATTTTTAACTCTGCATTTTATCTTATTGACCTCAGTTAGGGTTATCGTTTTCACGCATAATAGAAGAAAATTTTGACATGATTTGAACGTGAATAAAAATTACTTTATGATTTGTTTGCGTGTCCTTTTTGATGTGTCTTGATATCTCTTGTGCTTTTTTAAAATTAGCTCTTGCATTAGAAAACGAGGAGGTTTTTTATTTATGTAATTTATTGCCGTATTGAGTATGGACAAACGATATTCAATTAAGGTAAATTAAAATAGTAAACAATTAATGAAATGAAACGCTGGACTGCGACGTTACCGGTCGTATTGTGTGTTTTATCCGGAACTTAGGTCAGTAAATACCAGTTAGGTTATGTCTTAATTAGTTTCTATTGACTTTTGATCATAGTGCATCAACTGACGCTTTGTCCACTTATTTTTGCACAGTAACATTCTTCAATATATATCTATCAGCAATTATATTTACGCCCTGATTACGTGAAGGTCAATAGAAATACTAGATTATAACCTTTTTAAACTCTGTAAATAGACTTGCTAAAAATAGACATGTTTGTATCAATTTAGACAATAAAACATTCCTAAATGGTGCATTAAAATGTAAGTGGCGTATGTCTGTTAATCATAATAGAGCGTCGCACATTGGGCTGAATCAAATTGCTCCATAGACAACTTTATCTGATGTTTGAAATGTCTCTTTTTTTTGCTTAAATGTGCTTTGTATCAGTAAATGCATACCTTATAACGT